TATTAATCTGTGTCACACACGCTATATTAATCTGTGCCACACACGCTATATTAATCTGTGTCACACACGCTATTTTAATCTGTGTCACACACGCTATTTTAATCTGTGCCACACACGCTATATTAATCTGTGCCACACACGCTATATTAATCTGTGCCACACGCGCTATATTAATCTATGCCACACACGCTATATTAATGTGTCACACACGCTATATTAATCTGTGTCACACACGCTATATTAATCTGTGACACACACGCTATATTAATCTGTGTCACACACGCTATATTAATCTGTGCCACACAGGCTATATTAATCTGTGCCACACACGCTATATTAATCTGTGTCACACACGCTATTTTAATCTGTGTCACACACGCTATTTTAATCTGTGCCACACACGCTATATTAATCTGTGCCACACACGCTATATTAATCTGTGCCACACGCGCTATATTAATCTATGCCACACACGCTATATTAATGTGTCACACACGCTATATTAATCTGTGTCACACACGCTATATTAATCTGTGACACACACGATATATTAATCTGTGCCACACGCGCTATATCAATCTGTGTCACACACGCTATACTAATCTGTGTCACACACGCTATATTAATCTGTGTCACACACGCTATATTAATCTGTGTCACACACGCTATATTAATCTGTGCCACACACGCTATATTAATCTGTGCCACACGGGCTATATGAATCTGTGCCACACACGCTATGTTAATCTGTGCCAACCTGTACGGGGATCGAGTATTGCCCCCTCGCACAAGGCGTGGGTTTTCTCCCCGTGGTCCGGTTTCCTCTTCCTCACTTGAATATTAAAATAGTTTAGTTTTGCTGTCCCTCCCCCGCACCTCAGATTAGCCCGGTTGACTACGTACGGTGGCAAAGAAGTTCGCCATACATACATACCAACACACAGACATACAAACACGACTCATCATTACTTGGGGCTAAGCATATCTCACAAATAAACATCTCAACACCTTAATCTAGCAGCAGCATGACCCTCCTGAGTCTTGAGACTCGGTGTGCCTCTCCTGGATGCATAAACGATCGTTAATATATTGACAATTGATTGCTTGTATAAGAATATAATAGTTCGTAGTAGGTATCTCAGATGTAGGGACGTCGATGCACTGAAATTCGCACCGTAGCATAGTGCGATGCTGCTGCTGGATGAGATAGGTCTGACGAGCTACGATGGGTAGAGCAACGTTATGTTGATTTGTGACTTCTGCTGACTATTATATGAATAATTATTCCTTCACTATGATGTGTACATTAACAGCTTAACACACATTCAATGTAGTGTATTTATCTACTGCGTTAAGGTGCGTGACCGGTCATGGGGTGCAGAGGGAGTAGTGGTGGTGGTGTGGGTTGACCATACTTCCCCGCCCTGGTCAGTACGAGGGGGCATAGAAACGTGGGAGCATAGAAGGTCGGTATTTTCTGCCCCTGCCCATGTGTTGGTGGGGTAAGGCGTGTGGGAGTAGAGGACAACATACCACTCTGGGTCAGTGGCGGGGGTCTACCCCTTTCGGGCAGCAGTGGCGTGAGCAAGCAACTGCAGGGCTGCGCCTTCATCTATACAGCCCGAGACGTCGTCAACAACAACAACAAACAACTCTGTGGCGAGTGCGGTGAGCGGCTCACGCGGACCTCTGGGGCGCTTCCGAGAGACGGCGGCCGAGAGGAGCCGCGCGGCTCCTAACGGCGTGAAATCCCGCGAGGAGGCCACCCCGTGCCACCCGTGGCACCCGTGCCATCCGTGCCACCCGTGCCACCCGTGCCACCCCGTGCCACCCCGTGCCACCCGTGCCACCCGTGCCTTCCCGTGCCACCCGTGCCACCCGTGCCACCCCGTGCCACCCGTGCCACCCGTGCCTCCCCTCCTCTCGCACCCCCACACCCCTCCCCGTGCCCCCCACTCCCTCCCCCCCCTACTCGCAGTGATCACACAATCGTTGCTAATTACCGCACCCCCCCCCCCCGAGCCCCCGATCCAGCCGCACCTCCAAAGAGCGCGGTTAGTGTTGCGTGTCGGGAACAGAACAAGCTCTCAAGCACACGGAACGGAACGTCGGGCATCGTGTGGGCAGCACGCGGCACGACCGGGCAGCGCATCGCAGAGAGAGGGAGAGAGGGAGAGAGAGCAGGCTGTAATTTCCGCACCACGCGTGTACAAATACTAATTGGCTGAAAACATCGCAGACAATTAAAAACGCACACACGATGTAGCAGGAAGGGGACTCCTGGTCGCTTGAACAATTCGGCGCGGCCTACTCCTGGATAAATCAGAAGGTTGCTGTTTGGGAGTAATCAAGTAAGAACATGCCCTTTGGCTCGACGCGCCCTGGAAGCGCACGTGTGCTACTCGAATTCCCGTGCGGTTCGCACCTGGCTTTCGTGGGGCTGTTTTTTGTTGTTTAAAAGACGCCTCCGGCTCCCTGTAAATATTGACGTTGCCCACTTGGTCACACGCCTTCGTCCCCCGCGCGAGAGGCGCACGGTGCGTCCAGCTGCCCCGGTCGCCCTGCCGTGGCTTAGAGCGGGTGGGGGGGGGGGTCTCGCTGAACATCCACCAGGTGGGCTGGTAGACTGGGGCAAGCAGGAGGCGCTTGGCTGCTCGTCGCCACAGCTGCGAGATAGAGAGAGAGAGATAGAGAGATGCTGCGCGTGACGTGTGGTTGTGGATTTATTTACCATTGTCGGCGACCTGAGCACACCCGGCTGGATTCGAGCCCAGGTTGTGTCGCTCTGCTGTTGATCCTTGGGCTGGTGACGTGGCCCCGCGGGATCACGTTCGCTCCGCTTGTTGTTGTTGTTGTTGCAGAAGTTCGCGGTTCGAATCTAGCGGCCGCCCTGTTTAATAGTGCGATGTGTATTAACCACAAACCTACCACTACGACGACACTTACTACGCGCCGTCTGATGAACTCACAGGGGACGATCAAGATCCCCTGGCGTCATGCACAAGGGCGGCCAATTGTGGGGACCACGCCAGGCCACGTAGAGCAGCAGCAGCAGGCATCGACCCCTACCGGCAGCAGAGTCATGATGCCCCCAGGGCACTGTTGCAAATGAGACTGCATCCTGGTCCCCTGTGTTCTCAGCCGGTCACAAGAAACCAACTTGAGACTTGGACTTTTGTGTCCTTTGTGTTCCCTCTCTCTCTCTCGTCCCTCCGAGCGTGTGTCTATCCCAGGCGGGTGTCTGTATCCCAGGCGGGTGTTTGTATCCCAGGCGGGTGTTTGTATCCCAGGCAGGTGTTTGTATCCCAGGCGGGTGTTTGTATCCCAAGTGGGTGTTTGTGTCCCAGGCAGGTGTTTGTATCTCAGGCGGGTGTTTGTGTCCCAGGCAGGTGTTTGTATCCCAGGCGGGTGTTTGTATCTCAGGCGGGTGTTTGTATCCCAGGCAGGTGTTTGTATCCCAAGTGGGTGTTTGTATCTCAGGCAGGTGTTTCTATCCCAGATGGGTGTTTGTGTCCCAGGCGGGTGTTTGTATCTCAGGCGGGTGTTTGTATCTCAGGCGGGTGTTTGTATCCCAGGCAGGTGTTTGTATCCCCGGAGTGTGTTTGTGTCCCAGGCAGGTGTCTTTATCCCCGGAGTGTGTTTGTATCCCAAGCGGGTGTTTGTGTCCCAGGCAGGTGTCTTTATCCCCGGAGTGTGTTTGTATCCCAAGCGGGTGTTTGTGTCCCAGGAGTGTGTTTGTGTCCCAGGCAGGTGTCTTTATCCCAGGAGTGTGTGTTTTGTTCTTCTCGAACGTGTCGTTGTTTTGGCTCCGAGTTGCTTGATCGCCGTACACGCTGTGCTCGTGTCATCGCGGTGTCTCGGGTCAGTCTCTTTGCCGAGACACCCTCACCCTGATACCTTGAGCTCTCACACCAGGCTACACAAAGATTTGCTTCAACATCGAAATCATAATTACGCTCCAGATATACGCATTGAATCATTATCACCATCAGCCATGATCTATCTACTGCTGGATGAAGGCCTCCCCAGGCAATCGCCCATCCCCTCGTGGTCTCACGACGCGAAAACGTTTCCGAATTACCGTCCACGTGGGGCCGGTTCCGCAAATTCTGCCGATTCCATTGCTCTCGTGAAACTCAATTATTTTAAGACTAGTTTTTATTTTACCAGCAGGTAAGACCTACTGAGCTGCAATGTCGCTTTTTTTTTCAGAAGCAACCTGGCTATCACAAATGATGGCTCAACGAAGTTGGCTCATCGCGTGGACATTTGTTTAGCAGCCAAAATGACTCTAAACGCGTGATGTTGATTCTGATTGTGGAGGGGGGGAAAAAAACAGAGGACCCGGAGAAAATCAAGCAAAGGACGGGGAGAGAGAGAGAGACACGCAAACTCCAAATATACAGCAGCAGGCGTCAGGGTCTGGATCGAACCCACGACCTCCTGTATACCAGGCGAGGTAGCTAACATCTCCTAGCCACCGTGATGATGATGAGAGAGAGAGACACTGCAAACTCCAAATATACAGCAGCAGGCGCCAGGGTCTGGATCGAACCAACGACCCCCTGTATAATAGGCGAGGTAGCTAACATCTCCTAGCCACCGTGATGATGATGAGAGAGAGAGACACTGCAAACTCCAAATATACAGCAGCAGGCGTCAGGGTCTGGATCGAACCCACGACCTCCTGTATAATAGGCGAGGTAGCTAACATCTCCTAGCCACCGTGTCGCCCCTCGCCCTCACTGCAACATCCCTGGGCTCTTGCACGGAGCGCTCAGCCCTGACTCCCCCACCCTGCCACGTGCTGAGTGCACGTGGCTGGGAGCCCGCAACCAATTGCTCCTAAATGTTACGGTTAATCGTGTCAGCCTAGAGGCTGGAGTGTGCTTTGTATTGTATTGCTGTTAACATCTCCTAGCCACCGTGGCGCTCCGTCTCCACGGTGGACATCCTCCGCCATGTGAAGTTGAAAGAGCGTTGTGTCCGCGTGGTCCCAGATCGCGTGTCATGGCGAAGTCGGAAAGCCAAATGGACATCGTGGAGAAGCAGACCAAGCCACGGCACCAGCGGCTGTCGGCGCCGCTGCGGCTCGGCGCGGCCCTCCTGCTCTGCGCCCTCGCGTGCGCGGTGGTGACGCTCGCCGTGCTCTACGTGGTCGAGCGAGGTTCGCGACGGTGATGATGACGGGGGAGTGTTTGTTGTGACGGTGATGATGACGGGGGAGTGTTTGTTGTGACAGTGATAATGGGGGAGTGTTTGTTGTGACGGTGATGATGGGGAGTGTTTGTCGTGACGGTGATGATGACGGGGGAGTGTTTGTTGTGACAGTGATAATGGGGAAGTGTTTGTTGTGACGGTGATGATGACGGGGGAGTGTTTGTTGTGACGGTGATGATGACGGGGGAGTGTCTGTCGTGACGGTGATGATGACGGGGGAGTGTTTGTCGTGACGGTGATGATGATGGGGGAGTGTTTGTTGTGGCGGTGATGATGACGGGGGGAGTGTTTGTCGTGACGGTGATGATGACGGGGGAGTGTTTGTTGTGACAGTGATGACGGGGGAGTGTTTGTCGTGACAGTGATGATGGGGAGTGTTTGTTGTGGCGGTGATTATGACGGGGGAGTGTTTGTCGTGACAGTGATGACGGGGGAGTGTTTGTCGTGACAGTGATGATGGGGAGTGTTTGTCGTGACAGTGATGATGGGGAGTGTTTGTCGTGACAGTGATGATGGGGAGTGTTTGTCGTGACGGTGATGATGGGGGAGTGTTTGTCGTGACGGTGATGATGGGAGAGTGTTTGTCGTGACGGTGATGATGGGGGAGTGTTTGTTGTGACGGTGATGATGGGGGAGTGTTTGTCGTGACAGTGATGATGGGGAGTGTTTGTCGTGACAGTGAAGATGAAGGAGTGTTTGTCGTGACAGTGATGATGGGGAGTGTTTGTCGTGACAGTGATGATGGGGAGTGTTTGTCGTGACAGTGATGATGGGGAGTGTTTGTCGTGACGGTGATGATGGGGGAGTGTTTGTCGTGACGGTGATGATAGGAGAGTGTTTGTCGTGACGGTGATGATGGGGGAGTGTTTGTTGTGACGGTGATGATGGGGGAGTGTTTGTCGTGACAGTGATGATGGGAAGTGTTTGTCGTGACAGTGAAGATGAAGGAGTGTTTGTCGTGACAGTGATGATGGGGAGTGTTTGTCGTGACGATGATGATGGGGGAGTGTTTGTCGTGACAGTGATGATGGGGGAGTGTTTGTCGTGACAGTGATGATGGGGGAGTGTTTGTCGTGACAGTGATGATGGGGGAGTGTTTGTCGTGACAGTGAGGATGAAGGAGTGTTTGTCGTGACAGTGAGGATGAAGGAGTGTTTGTCGTGACGGTGATGATGGGGAGTGTTTGTCGTGACAGTGATGATGGGGGAGTGTTTGTCGTGACAGTGATGATGGGGGAGTGTTTGTCGTGACAGTGATGATGGGGAGTGTTTGTCGTGACAGTGATGATGAGGGAGTGTTTGTTGTGACGGTGATGATGGGGGAGTGTTTGTCGTGACAGTGATGATGGGGGAGTGTTTGTCGCGACAGTGATGATAGGGGAGTGTTTGTCGTGACAGTGATGATGGGGGAGTGTTTGTCGTGACAGTGATGATGGGGAGTGTTTGTCGTGACAGTGATGATGGGGGAGTGTTTGTCGTGACGGTGAGGATGAGGGAGTGTTTGTCGCGACAGTGATGATGGGGGAGTGTTTGTCGCGACAGTGATGATGGGGGAGTGTTTGTCGTGACAGTGATGATGGGGAGTGTTTGCCGTGACAGTGATGATGGGGGAGTGTTTGTCGTGGCAGTGATGATGGGGGAGTGTTTGTCGCGACAGTGATGATGGGGAGTGTTTGTCGTGACAGTGAGGATGAAGGAGTGTTTGTCGTGACAGTGATGATGGGGGAGTGTTTGTCGTGACGGTGAGGATGAGGGAGTGTTTGTCGTGACAGTGATGATGGGGGAGTGTTTGTCGTGACAGTGATGATGGGGGAGTGTTTGTCGTGACGGTGAGGATGAGGGAGTGTTTGTCGTGACAGTGATGATGGGGGAGTGTTTGTCGTGACAGTGATGATGGGGGAGTGTTTGTCGTGACAGTGAGGATGAGGGAGTGTTTGTCGCGACAGTGATGGGAGTGTTTGCCGTGAAAATAAAGGAGTGTATCTATTCGCTCGAGTGATGGAGTCTCGCGGTGCGATTGATTGTATTTGGGAACGATGGGAGTGTTGCCGCGATTGATGATGTGAAATAAGTGTTTCAGTGTGAAGGAGTGTGCTGGAATGAGTGCGCTCGAGTGGAGGAGTGTGTCAGTGTGAAGATACCAACCAGAGGGAGTTGCGTTCATGGTAACAAGGGAGGGGGGCACGCGGACTGCCAGGCAGACGTGTGCTAGAGTCGGTCACTGCGTTTGTCCTGGTGACCTGGTGACCTGATGCCCTTGTGACCTGGTGACCTGTGACCCGGTGCCCTGGTGGCCTGGTGCCATGGTGACCTGGTGACCTGGTGCCCTGGTGACCTGGTGCCTTGGTGACCCGGTGACCTGGTGGGCTAGTGGCCTGGTGGCCTGGTGACCGAGTGACCTGGTGCCCTGGTGCCATGGTGACCTGGTGATATGGTGACCTGGTGACCTGGTGGGCTGGTGACCGGGTGACCGGGTGACCTGGTGCCCTGGTGACCTGGTTCCCTGGTGACCTGGTTCCCTGGTGACCTGGTGACTTGGTGCCCTGGTGACCTGGTGACCTGATGACCTGGTTCCCTGGTGACCTGATAACCTGGTGACTTGGTGACCTGGTAACCTGGTGACTTGGTGACCTGGTGACTTGGTGACTTGGTGACTTGGTGACCTGGTACCCTGGTGACATGGTGACCTGGTGCCCTGGTGACCTGGTTCCCTGGTGACCTGGTTCCCTGGTGACCTGGTGACTTGGTGCCCTGGTGACCTGGTGACCTGATGACCTGGTTCCCTGGTGACCTGGTAACCTGGTGAGCTGGTACCCTGGTGACCTGGTGCCCTGGTGACTTGGTACCCTGGTGACCTGGTGCCCTGGTGACCTGGTACCCTGGTGACATGGTGACCTGGTGCCCTGGTGATATGGTGACCTGGTAACCTGGTGACCTTGTGACCTGGTACCCTGGTGACATGGTGACCTGGTGCCCTGGTGCCCTGGTGACATGGTGACCTGGTGCCCTGGTGCCCTGGTGACCTGGTGACCTGGTGAATGTTTTCCCCCACAGAGAAGAGGGCGTCTTGGAATGTGTGCATCACTCCCGAGTGCATCGCGGCCTGTGAGTAACCGCCGCCACCGTCGCTCCATCGCTTCTGACGTACAAAACCTTCCTTCAGCCGCGTCGCCACCTCCTCTCGCACGACCGCTGACCGGGCGGGCAGCATGGGCCGGTGATGCAGACACCGACGCCAGTGGCGTATATGCTGCAGTACATGATAGACTGTACCGCTAATGGAGAGAATCAGACATCGCGGGGAAATGTAGGATTTTGACCCGACGATGCAAGGTCGAGGTTTCCGAAACGGAAACCAAATTTGAATAGCAAATCAAGAAACACGTTTTATTTTTCCTACAATAGAATGATTAAGTTGATATATATATAGTGTCGTCGGTAATGGTAATCGAATCTCACATTCGCTGAGTAGGAACCGCAGACCAAGCTGGAAGGCTGCTACGAGGCGGTGAGCCTGCGCTACCAACACTTGATCTGCAGTTATCTATATATCAAGATGCTTTCAGCCAATTCGTGCAGCCACGCTGAGTCGTATGCCTCTTTTTTCAGCAGGGTCCTGCTGCTGCTGCTACATTGGCTTGATATTTGTAAGACGTTTTCAGCCGATCAATGATGAGTGGTGTTTACTATCACTATGCATGTAGGGAGGAAACCGGAGCACCCGGAGAAACCCTACAAATGCGAGGGGACAACACTGTATCCCGTACAGAAGGGACAGGAGATCAGTCCACACTTTGCTGGACGGCAATCTCCTGGTAGAGCCCGGGCATCGCACCTCCTAGATAGCCGCGCAAACAGCGTTGGATTTGTACTATGTTGAACTTCTTTCGCACCGTACGTATAACCAAACGTGCTAATCGGAGGTGCGAGAGAAGGACAGCAAAACTGAACACAAAAAAAACTGTTCTGGAGAAATGAGTTTAAAATCTTGATGATGATGATGACTTAAAAGTGCACAAGCTCCAGTGGCTTCCTAACGAGGCCACGCGCAGCAAGGCCACCACCAGAATCGTCTCCTGATGACGCCAACAATGTCACGCCACGAGACGGAGCGTTGAGGTGCCGGAATATCCGTCGGGTTGCTACCTGCCCTGATTCTCCCAGGACTCTGCTGTTGTTGTGGAGTCAGCTGCTGTCCTGGGAAATCTCAAAGTCTTCCCGAGACGTGAACTATCCCAGTTTAGTTGTTTTGTCAGTTGCTTAATCTCACTCGCTCACTCGCCCGCCTGCTCCATCACTCGCTCGCTCCCTCGCTCGCTTCAACGCTCGTCCACTCCATCGCCCGCCCGCTCCCTCGCTCGCCTGTGTCGCGTGGGGGGAGTTCAGCGGCTCGCATCCTGGACGGCATGGACTCCACCGTGGACCCGTGCCAGGACTTCTACAGCTTCGCGTGCGGTGGCTGGCTCAAGAAGCACGTGATCCCCGAGCGCAGCTCCTACTACAGCACCTTCGACATGCTGCGGGATGACATGGAGGTCGTACTCAAAGGTCAAACAGTCGAGCCGGGCCGTGATCTCAACAAATCGTAGCGACCTTTAAAACTAAAATTATATATATTTTTAATCTTACCAGGTAACGCCCACTGAGCTGAATAGCTCTTTTTCAGAAGCGACCTGGCCATCACAAATGATAGCTCAACGACGTGGCCTATCGTCGTGTGGGAATGTATAGCAGCCACATACTTTGAACGCGTATTGATTGTAATTACGGATGGAAAACCCAGAGGACGCGGGGAAAATTGCACGAGACCACGGGGAGAGAGACACTGCAAACTCCAAATATACAGCAGGCGTCAGGGTCGGGATCGTTCCCACGATCTCCTGTATACCAGGCGAGGTAGCTAACATGTCGCCATGGAGAGAGAGACACTGCAAACTCCAAATATACAGCAGGTGTCAGGGTCGGGATCATTCCCACGATCTCCTGTATACCAGGCGAGGTAGCTAACATGTCGCCATGGAGAGAGAGATACTGCAAACTCCAAATATACAGCAGGCGTCAGGGTCGGGATCGTTCCCATGATCTCCTGTATACCAGGCGAGGTAGCTAACATGTCGCCATGGAGAGAGAGATACTGCAAACTCCAAATATACAGCAGGCGTCAGGGTCGGGATCGTTCCCATGATCTCCTGTATACCAGGCGAGGTAGTTGACATCTCACCACCGCGGCGCCCTCTGGCGCAAGCGAGCATTGGAGGAGGATTCTTTGGTGCTTGTCTCCCGGTGACAGCCCTTGTAGCCCAGTGGTTGAAATTCCACATTCACGTTGCAGCACGTAACTCGGTGATCTGCCTTCTGTAGAAAAAAGAGCTTCATAGCTCATAAAATTCCTCCAGGATAAATACAGATTCTGTTTCTGAGTCTATCCAGAGGACAACCGCTGTTGGCTTTCCCTGCTGCTGAGTGTTGCTCATTGTATCGACCCCGGAGGGATGACGGGCTGAGTTCGCTCCCCAACCGGGAGTTGAACTCTCGGATCTTCACGATTGCGAGCCGCTCACTCTCCGCCGAGCAGCCCCGGGGCCGCGAGGCGCGTGCCGTCACGGGGCCCGTTCGCCACTCGTTGTAGCCGTGGACACATCCTGGACGTGGTGTGCCGGGTACACTATCATCGTTATCATTATTATTTCGGTCGCCGGCTCGGACAGACTCGGCTGAATTTGAGTACTGGTTTGTGCCACCCTTCACCCGGCTCACAATCGGACTCTGACTGTGGGTTGCTCGCTGCGAAACACTCGCGAGAGAACCCTCGCTACGGAACGTTCGCTAGGCAACGTTCACTAGGGAACACTCGCTACAGAACACTCGCCACAGAACACTCGCTACAGAACACTCGCTACAGAACACTCGCTACAGAACACTCGCTACGAAACGCTCGTTGAGGAGTTATGATTTGACAAACGCTTGTGTTGTTCTGTTTTCAGATGTCCTCGAAAGGCCGGACAAGGGCAATCGTGAAGCCATCAGGAAAGCCAAAAGGCTGTACAGATCCTGCATTAACGAATGTAAGTGGTTTAGAGACTCAATATTGACCGTTTGACAGAGTCCAACTTGAGCTGAGAGTATTAGATCAGCTCTGTCCGTCTCTCCATCCATCCATCTGTCCGTCCATCCGTCTGTCCATGCTCTCTGCCACATGGGGCTCATGATAACTCTCGTCAAGATGATGACATTTGAATGACATTTCGGTTTAAGTTGTGTTGCTATTGGACGTTTACCCTATGAGAGAGTACCGGACAAATTAACTTCAGGGTTGCTTAAAAACTTGGACGATGAAAAAACCCCTCCAGCGATTATGCGAAGGGGTTTTCAGCCAAGGCGATGACGTCACGCGCGCCATGCGTGAGTTCGCCTGCAGAGCGACGTCACGCAGGCTATGACGACATCTAATATTGCGACTCGGCAAATTGACGTCATTATCGCCAAATACCCGTCAATCCTGTGGAGCTGAAACGCGTGTTTGGAAAGGGCGAGACGATAATCCATGCGTGTGCACGCCTGTTCTTCCTCACGTGATGATGATGATGCCATCATCATTCAAAATATCGTCGCGCACGGAAATACGTCTGCCGGGGTTCGTATTGTGCAGGCGCTATCATCGAAGCTGCCAGAATAAAAAAAAAATACCATAATTCTTTTACGATGCTTTGGAAGGCGCTTCGGGAAGTTTAATGATGTTTATCGGACAATAATGGGCTCCAACGACTGCTTGCAGACATGGGAATATTTACACCGGAATTCGTGTCTACGCATCCGCGCGCGGCGCGTGGACAAGATCCAGTGGACGCGCGCGCACGCGGAATACAGATTTACGTCGGAGGAAATTGGCTGCTGTAGATGTCCACGTGATAAGCCACTTCGTTGAGCTCTCGTTTGCGATAGGCAGGTCGCTGCTGAAAAAGAGCTACGTAGCCGTTCAGTGGGGCTTACATGGTAAAAAAAATACATGTTTGTAGTTTTTAGTTTAACTGGGTGGTCGCTAAAGCAAATAGCCAGGCACGGGTGAACAGCAACGGGTCAACAGCAACGAGTGAACAACAACTGGTAAAATAAAAAAAATGAGGGCAATAATGTCTGTGTGTCCCGCGCGTGACGTCATTCCAAGTCGGCCAGCCCCCCTCATCAATAATCATGAACAGGTGATGTCTTCCACATGGACCCCCCCCCCTTATTAATAATCATGAGCGGACGACGTCACTCCACACGTAGCACCTCCCCCCCCCCACCTCATTAATAATCATGAGCAGATAACGTCACTCCACATCGAACAGCCCCCCACATTAATAATCATGAACAGGTGACGTCTTCCAAATGGACACCCCCCCATTAATAATAATTAGCAGGTGACGTCACTCCACATGGGGGGGCGAGGCGCCTCCTCACCCCTCCTCGGCGTCAACTCACAACCCTTACTACAAAGGCAGAACCCTCACGTCATCACGTGATCTCCGTGACGCTGTTGAGACATCGAAGTAAAAAGGACGTCATAATGCACAGGGGATTATAACCTTGAAATGAAATAAGTCTGTGTCACCGCGGCCTGACAAATTGCACGCGAATTGATGGCATGAATATATCACTTTCGCGGTCTGATTTCGCTTGCAAGTTTCACATTTGCCGCAATACACCCGTCCTTGGACGGGCTCAAGGCTCGTCTATAGCAAGAAACAAATCGGAGAAAACTCCCAGCTGCCCGGTGCACGCGGAGAGGTGGCCTTTGGGTGGTGACGACACCGGTCGGCATTGAACGACAGCGGCGGCCGGCGGCGCTCGAGTGTGGCCGTGAGAAACGGCGCCGCTGGTGACACGGGGGGACGGGAGCTGGCCGGGCGCGTTGGCACGACTCTTCCCCTCCTCGCCTCTCGTCAGATATTCTGCCCCGCTGCGCCTTGCCGTGATTGCGTCGCGGCGCTTGGAGTAAGCAAGCGACTGCTAAAAAGTAAACGCTCGTTTTGTTGCTGTATATATAACGGTGCCGGCAAGCGTCACGGTGGCTAGGAGATGTTAACTACCTCGCCTGGTATACAGGAGGTCGTGGGTGCGATACCGACCCTGACGATGCCTGTTGCTGTAGATGTGGGGTTTGCGTGTCTCTCTCTCCCTGTGGCGAGAAGTTAACTACCTCGCCTGGTATACAGGAGGTCGTGGGTTCGATCCCGACCCTGACGATGCCTGTTGCTGTAGATGTGGGGTTTGCGTGTCTCTCTCTCTCTGTGGCGAGATGTTAACTACCTCGCCTGGTATACAGGAGGTCGTGGGTGCGATCCCGACACTGACGACGCCTGCTGCTGCTGTAGATGTGGGGTTTGCGTGTCTCTCTCTCCCTGTGGTCGCTCGTCGCCAGCTGCTGTGCGTGTTGGGCCTCTGTGGTCAGCAACTGCGAATTGACGTCCCCCGCAAAAAAATTATATTTGATGACGGTGCTGACGATGATCATGGTGCTGATGACAAAAATAATGGTGCTGACGATGGTGATCATGGTGCTGATGATGATCATGGTGCTGATGATGATCATGGTGCTGATCACAAAAATCATGGTGCTGATGATGATCATGGTGCTGATGATAATGGCCGCCGGCCAAGAATAAAATCGTAGCGACAGGAAAGGGAAGGAACGGGTCAGAGAGGGGACATCCAGAGGGAAGATGGAGCCACGATTTCGGTTCTTGTGCGAGAGGTGGTGGCGGCGGCGGCCGCAGCGGCTGCGGCTTGGAGAGAGTGGCCCTTCATCCAACAGTGGATTCTTTGACCGTGTCTGACAATGATGATGACGATGGCGATGAAAATAAAAATAATCGTGGGAGGGAGTATTTGCGCAGCGGACGTGAGTCCTCCGGCACCTTTGTGCGCGGCATTCATCGATTGCCCTGCGTTTGCGTGGCGTGCTGTGTTTCATTTCTCTGTTTCCACACCCAGCTGCCATAGAGGAGAGGGATTCGGAGCCGCTGCTCAATCTCCTGGACAGCATCGGCGACTGGCCCGTGATCAACGACAACTGGACCACGACTCACGGTACACCCGGGACAGAGGGCCCCCCTAGACATCAGCCACCCCCCCCCCCCAAGACTCCAGGCCCCCTCCCCCGAGACTCCAGCCCCCTCCAGCCCCCCCCCCCCCCCCAGACTCCAGGCCCCCACCAGGCCGTGTGCTCCGAGCGACATCTCTCACAGAGATCTCAGAATCGCCGTTGTCGCCGCTGGAGGAGCTACCCGATGCGGCGGTGATGAAGCCCTCGTCCGCAAATGTCTATCAGGGGCGGGTCAGCGGGCTACCTTGGCACGCGCGTGGTGCTGCGGTGTTGCCTTGCTGCTGCAAATCTCTGGATTGTTTGCTGGATGTTTACTCCAGCTGCTTTCGTTTTTTTGTTAATGATTTCTAGCCCCCTCGGCTGGAACGCGTTAATCACGCAGTATTGTCTCTGTTTATAACAGAGGAGGGAGGCACGGCAACTCTCGTAACGATGAGCCATCATGGATTAGACTTTAGTGTAACGTTCTGTTGCTATTAGAAACTCGCCCCAGAGAAAAGCGAACACACTGGTCAAAGCCTAAATGAACGACCTGCTGCGCACGTGCGTGCGTGTCTGTGCGTGTGTGTGACGTGGGGCTCACTGTAACTCTCGTGGAGACCGATCCGATACGAACGAATCTTTCGTGTGAATTCTAGATTTAATTCTAGATTTAAAGCTTTCGTGACTGCAAGGATGCATGCTGTTTGGTTCTATTGGGTAAAGTCACGTTTCGTGTGAAGTTGCGTTGCTCGTGGGGGAATCCGCCTCTCGAAGAAAAAAATCAGCCACATCCATCGAGGCTCTGTCTCTCACAGGGGCTGGGTGGGTGGGTGGGGTGACGAGGTGGTAACCCTCGCGACGATGATCCGACGCGAATGACATTTTTTTTTTACCAATAAACTTTGCGCTGCGCGATTGGCGCCTCGATTCTTGTCGGCGAGCTACGGGCTGACAGCTGTCGTGGTGCTCGCGTGTGACCCCGCAGGGGGGGTCTGGCGGCTGGACAATGTCCTCGCCAAGCTGAACTCAGTCTTCTGGAAGAGGGTCATCGTGGACATGTACGTGGGGCCTGACGACGAGAACTCCAACAAGCACGTCATCCACGTGAGCGCCCCACCACCACCCGCTCGCTCGCTCTCTCTCTCTCTCTCTCCCCCTCGCCAGCACGAAGTCCGACGTTTCGGCTACCCACGTGCTGGGAGCCTCGTTCAGGAAGCGAAGCGAGCAGCCTTTTGCGTTCCCCCCCCCCCCCCCCCCCCCCACGATTCGGCAGGGTTTTGTTTAATTCCGCAGCACGCGCGTTAGCCGAAACGTCGAACAACGCACGATCGCGATACACGTGCGCTGTATCTCTGTCCAGCAGCGTGTAGGGAGGCGCGCGTGGCTCAACACGGGGCGCGCATGGGGGCAGTCAATACAAAACCGTGCACCAATAGCTCATAGTCGCTCGATTGTAACGTCGTTATAAATAAAAATATAAAACGTGCAAAGAGGCAATGTTCCATGAATCTTGACGATGCTTTATATATCGTCTCCCGGTTAAAAAAAGGAAAGAAGTTCAACATATATACATACACGTGTGTGTGTGTGTATATACAATGTACCCACGTGGTACATTGCGAAGGCAAACAATATGCGGCATCGACAAAAATGGGGGCCCGTCTCGTGACCGCCCTTCGGTGCGATTGGGGGTCACTGAGCGCCCCCCCCCGCCCCCCACGAAGGAGTAAGGGGGGGTAGGGAGATAACCGTACCCACTCGTTCAAGATGCATCATCTTAGAGATGCATCATCTTAGAGATGCATCATCTTAGAGATGCATCATCTTAGAGATGCATCATCTTAGAGATGCATCATCTTAGAGTATGACCCTTCGCGTTGCAAGTCTCGTCGGAGAGCTCGGCACAGGACTGGCGACAGGTCACGCTCGGTCGCCGTGTCAGCAGGGAGTCACGCGGCAAGGGCCCCGGGCCGTGTTTTCCCAAGCGAGGCGTGTTTAAGGAAGACTCCCAAAGACAAACATCGCTCTGTGATCTCACAGTCTTTTGGGGATGCAGAGGTTAGGACAGTGGTGGTGGTGGTTTGTGGGGAGGGAGCGGTGGTGCAGCGGTTAGTGCCACGCTGCGCTACGAACCCGGCCACTCGAGTTCGATTCCCGCCCACGGCCAACACCGGTGACGATGATCCAAATCGGTCCTGGGCCTTCCCTAGGTCGACTCAGCCTTAAATGAGTACCAGGTGCGATGTGCAAACATCGCGACTGGGGAGACAAAGGCGGCCGAGCGTGGTGCTGGCCACCCAACTCTTCGCGTGCCGTTCCGGCCTTCATAGGTGCCAACTCGCTAACAGCACTTGCCCCAACAATCTGTTAAGGCTACACGGGGGATCTTTGCATTTGTAGTGGTTGTGCGCGTCGAGAAGATACCGTCCTGAGTGCGGACACTCGTCCACTCGCGTCCCTCCGGCTGACATCTCCGATTGCACGAATCCACGTTGTGTGTGTGGAGCTCATCGTCCGCCTGTGTTCTTCTGCCCCAGGTTGATCAGCCAATGCTCGGCCTGCCCTCCAAGGATTATTACTACGGTGACGGGAATTACAGAACGGTGAGGCGAATGGACAGAATGCACTTACGACTCGTGGCCAGTGACGTAGTAACTACATCATCAGTGACGTAGTAACTACATCATCAGTGACGTAGCAACTACATCATCAGTGGTGTAGTAACTACATTATCAGTGACGTAGTAACTACATCATCAGTGGCGTAGTAACTACATTATCAGTGGCGTAGTAACTACATTATCAGTGGTGTAGTGACTACATTATCAGTGACGTAGTAACAACATTACCAGTGTCGTAGTAACTACATTATCAGTGTCGTAGTAACTACATTATCAGTGGCGTAGTAACTACATTATCAGTGTCGTAGTAACTACATTATCAGTGTCGTAGTAACTACATTATCAGTGGCGTAGTAACTACTTATCAGCTCAGGGGGTACGACAATCGGTCAGGTGAGGCACCAATATTCGATTTGTCTCGCACGGTCTCACCCAGGCGATTCTATATCGAGGCTCCTCTTGCCTGACTGCGTCATCGTTATGCTCACGGTCTCCAACATTTAACGCTGTAGGGGCTCTCCGTCTCCGCAAAACGCAGCCAACGGCAGCTCTTCTTGTTCCAGCTGGTTGCGCTGCGATGAAGACAACAGCATAGACACAAACACGCGATGCGCAATTTGCGGAAGCCAAACGTTACTGCTCGAGTTAAATTAAAATAAAATAAAACGTGTAAACGTAAATTAAAGCATTTCCACACAAACATTAATTCAAACCGCGTTTTTAATGAGTGTAGTTGTTCTTTGACACTGTTGCTGGAAACAAATCCCATGGTGATTGTGAAGAGGCCCCAACTCGCAGCTTTGGCCACCCGGGGAGATGGGGGGTGGGGGAACAGACCACGTTTCATGATTATATCACTTTAATGTTAATAATGTTATAATAGTTGTGTTTGCACTGATACAGAAATGTTTCGCTGAGTCTTTGGGCTCTTTTTCACGAGGGTCCTGCAACAGCGGGACGTAGTCGTTGATAAAACATTTTTTTAAAGAAGTCTTTAAAGTCTATTTAGTTAGTCACCATCGTCATCATCATCAGCCGTGGTCAAACCACTGCTGGATGAAGGCCACGTCAACCCGCCCCCATCCCCCACTACCACTCACGGATTGCCGCTAAGCGGTTAGTCGAGTGGCTACCGGTGACTTTTGCACCGCTCACCGCGACCTGCTACAATCGCTCCTTGCCTCTGTGATCGACACGGCGGCTTGGGGTGAAGGGAGGAGGGATGACTTCAGTTCCAGCCCGTGGCAGTCACCCACACCCGGGTGGATTTAGAATGCGACTCTTAACTCCAGGCTGTGAACAAAGACTCTCGAGCCTCAATTCAATCGCGCTGAGAGTCGCTGGCCGCTTGGAGTTTTTGGCTGTTCGGCTTGCGATGTGATCTTCGACTCTCACGCGTGATGGTAGCAGCAGCAGCAGCAATGATGTTCAGGAGCTCGGTGAGGCTAATGTCTGCTGCTGCTGCCGCCACGAGAGAGCTTTAGCACAGAGAGAGTTGGTGTCGTGTCGCTCTTCCTCCTCCTCCTCCTGCGTTGAAGGAGCGAAGACCACGGTGGGTTTACTGCGCGGTCCGTAGTGTGGGTTGCATGGCCACTACACTTGCCTCGTCTTTAAAAAGTTTCTGAGTCCCTTTGTATCTCTTTGTATCGAAGTGTGTCTCAATGTTTCTAAGTGTGTCTCAATGTATCTACGTGGGTCTCTATGTATCTGTGTGGATTTCAATGTATCTAAGTGGGTCTCAATGTATCTAAGTGTTTCTCAATGTATCTACGTGGATCTCTATGTATCTACGTGTGTCTCTTCGTATCTGTGTGGGTCTCTATGGTGTCTCTCTGCGCCTCCGTGTGTTTAGTTTGAACATCTGCTCCGGAGTTTGGGTTGCGTGGCCACGCACCACGCTCCTACGGCTTGTGTCTGCGATGCCCCGTGCCCTCCCCACTCGTGAAGGGGACGCGGTGCAGCGTCGCGCTGTCGATGTCCCCCCCACCCCACCCCCTCGCTTGCCACGTGTTTACGCGTCCTACATTAAACACGACCGACACCGTCGGTACGATCCAAGCGGACGTCGTGAACGTCTCCGAGCGCCCTTGCAGCTCAGCAACCCGCGGTCAATGACGAGACGACGATTCCCAACTCCGTTGCCACCTCGCCGCGCGGTGTTCCATGGTGCAGGCGTGAGGAGTTGTCGGCGGTGGCGATGACATCCCAAGCCTCGTCCTTGCATCGACATTGAGCAGAGCAAGCGAGGCGGCCGTAGTGTAGCAGTTAGCGCGAACCTGGCCACCCGAGTTCGATTCCCGCTCACGGCCAACACCAGTGACGGTTATCTGAGCTGGTCCTGGGCCTCCCCTAGGTCGACTCAGCCTCAAATGAGTAGCTGGTCCGGTGTGTGAAAACATCGCCGCCGTGGCGATAAAGGCGGCCGTGCCGAGTGCTGACCATCCACCCCCTCGTGTGTCGTGCCGGCCTTCATAGGGTGCTACTCGCTAACAGCACTTGCCCCTACGGTCTACACGGGGCATCGTCTTCTTTGTTACTTTTAAAGAGCACTGCCCGCGCGTTTCCTCGGGATACACGGCCGGGGTGGGGGGTGGGGGTGTGGGGGCGTGACGTCACGCTGCACGCAGCTGGCTCGACACTGTGGGTCGCGGATGACGTCATCTCGCAGGCCTGCGCGGTGACATCACCGCCGCGCGTCAGCCAGGCAGCCAGCCAGCCAGCAAAACTTAAAAACAAAATACAAGTTTACGGGAAGTTTATTCCCCGAGTAAATCCCATTGAGCTAAGAAGAAATTAAATTGTTTTCTAAGAGTCAGTATAAGCACAATGTGGGGCCATATTAACAACAACAAAATGTACCCCTGAAATTTCAGGACTGCTATTACCCCCCCCCCGCCTCCCCGTGTCCAGGGAAGTTTCCAGATCCGCCTCCGAGTGGCGCGTCGCAGCGGGCGGTGCTCGTTGGAGCCTCGAGGAGGACGAGCACAGCGACGGCTCCGCGTTATTTTTATACCGACTTCAAAAGCGTTGGCATCGCCTCTTGACGGCAGGGAGGGAGGGGGGAGCTTGCGTCTCATCCCCCGTGTGTGTCTGTCCGTGTGTGTGTGTGTGTGTCTGTCCGTGTGTGTGTGTGTGTGTCTGTCCGTGTGTGTGTCTATCCGTGTGCGTGTGTGTGTCGATCTGTGTGTGTGTGTGTATTCGTGTGTTTGTGTCTATCGGTGTGTGTGTGTCTATCGGTGTGTGTGTCTATTCGTGTGTGCGTGTGTCTATCGGTGTGTGTGTGTCTATTCGTGTGTGCGTGTGGCTATTCGTGTGTGTGTCTATTCGTGTGTGTGTCTGTCCGTGTGTGTGGCTATCCGTGTGTGTGCCTATTCGTGTGTGTCTGTCCGTGTGTGTGTCTATTCGTGTGTGTGTGTGGCTATCCGTGTGTGTGTATCCGTGTGTGTGTGTCTATTCGTGTGTGTGTGTGTCTATTCGTGTATGTGTGTGTCTATCCGTGTGTGTGTCTATTCGTGTGTGTGTGTGTGTCTATCCGTGTGTGTGTCTATCCGTGTGTGTATGTCTATTCGTGTGAGTATCTATCCGTGTGTGTGTGTTTATCCGTGTGTGTGTTTATCCTTGTGTGTATGTTTATCCGTGTGTGCGTGTGTATCTGTGCTTGTGTGTGTATCTGTTCCTATGTGCGTAAAGCTATGCGTGTGTGTCTCTATGGGCGCGCGTGTGTGTGGGGAGCGGTAGTGTAGCGGTCAGCGCGCTGCGCTACGAACCCGGCGACCCGAGTTCAATTCGCGCTCACGGCCAACACCAGTGATGATTATCTGAACCTGTCCAAGGCCTCCCCAAGGTCGTCTCAGCCTCAAAAAGCACCCGGTGCATTGCGTAAACGTCGTCGCTAGCGAGGCAAAGGTAGTCGGGTGTGGTGCTGGCCACCCACCCCCTCGTGTGCGTGCCGGCCTTCATAGGTGTGCCGTGCCGGCCTTCACAGCTGCTATTCATGTGCTTGTGGGGAGCCGTGCCACAGGGCTTAGCGCGCCGCGCTACAAAACCGGCGAGCCTAGTTCAATTCCCGTTCACGGTAAAAAAACACCAGTGGCGATTATGTGAACCGGTCACGGGCATCCCCTATGTCGACTCAGCCTCAAATGAGTACCTGGTGGGGTGTGTAGTAAACATCGGCCTTCATAGGTGCTACTTGCTTAGAGCACTTGTCCCTGCAGTCTGTAAAGGCTACACGGGGGATCTTTGTGTGTGTGTCTGTTAGAGTGTGTGTGTGTCTGTGTGAGTCTCTGTGTGTGTGAGTCTGTGTGTGAGTTTGTGTGTGTGTCTGTGTGGGACATCTACTGGCCAAACCCCATTTGGCGGAGCCAGGAGACTGAATTCTTACCCTCGGGGCTCCTCTAGAAACAATAAAAAGCCACTACGGATGGCCACGTGGAATGTTCGGATGCTCAATGTGGAGGAGAGTCTGCCTGGATCTCTGTGGTATTCAGAAGGTCCGGTGGACCGGCTCTGGCTCCTGCAACCGTGAGGGGTGGACAGTTCTCTACTCGGGGCCGGAGACTGCCAAACAACAGGGAGTGGCTCTTCTTCTGAACAAAAGAATGAAGAGGGCGTGGGAGCGTGATGCTGGCTAAAGTGGCCCCTCGGGATAGAGTCATCTTGTTGGGAGACTTTAATGCCCGAGTTGGTCATGATGCTAGCACCTGTAGTGATTGGAAGACATGGGCCAGATCAGCTCAATAACAACGGTAGAAGGCTGCTAGATTTTTGCGCAGCCCATGGGTTTGTAACTACTAACACGCTGTCCCGGCATTAGCGCATCCACACAACATCATGGATGCATTCCGGGTCCAAGCAAGAACATCTGCCCACTGACCATCGACTTGTCATCTGTAAGATGCGCCTGCCATTATTCCACTCCGGTGTTGGGTGTACACCCAGGACCCCATTCAAACCCATAGTGGCATGGACTCAGCTAGCTGATGAAATTTGCAGTCGAGAATTCATCATCGCTTGCTGCTGGGGTTGGCATCGTCCCCCACTCCTCCTGATGTCGAGGGGAAATGGGCGAGGTTTAGGACTGTGGCTCATGCAGCTGCAATGGATGCTTTTGGTACACGGTCCAGACCTCCCCAGAGACCCTGGCTGACAGAGGAGGTGTTCAGGCTGGCTGAGAAAAAGCTACAGGCCCACTCTCATCGTCTACAGTATCCCACGTCAGAAAATTAGGCTTACCGCAGCCTTCGCTCGGAGGTTCGGAGAGCCGTGAGGCGCTGCAAGGATGGTTGGTGGTCGCGGGTTGCTGAGGAAATGGGAGTCTGCCTCAATGGCCCGCGATCACAAGTCGCTCTTTAACTCCATCAAAAAAGTAACCTGCAGCGCTACACCTATTACCATCATTAGGAGAAAGAACGGTGATGCAATCTCCGACCCCCAGGAACAGGTTTGCAGATTTTCTGAGCATTTCTGTGAGGTTCTGGGGGAGGGGAAGTCCCTCAGCCTGGAAAACATCGTGAGACAAAGTGAAGATGACCCTGCTGAGGCTGCGGTGCCCCAAATATTGGTAGAAGTCACACCCTGTGAGTGGCTGGCTGAGGTGTCATATGTTGAGGAAGTACTGAAGGCGATCCAGAGTCTGAGACCAGGAAAGGCACCGGGCAGAGATGATCTCCCAAGCGAAATGCTGAGAGAGGGTGGCGTTTGTGCACAGACTGCCCTACATGACATCATAACAACAGTCTGGACCACTGGACAGGTTCCGCAGGATTGGAAGCATGCGCAGGTGGTCCCCCAGTTTAAGAAGCGGAACCGCACAGAATGTAACAACTACAGGGGCATCTCACTCCTCAGTGTGCCGGGAAAGGTCCTGGCAAGGATTATTCAACATCGCCTTGCCAGCCACGCTGAAGAGAGGCTTGCGGAACCCAAATGTGGTTTCAGGAAAGGGCGGTCCTGCACAGATGCCATATTTTCTGTCCATCTGCTACAACAGAGGTGTATGGAAGACCTTCATCTCTGCTTTTTTGACCTGGTCAAGGCATATGATACCATCAGTAGGCCTGGGCTATGGGTTGTTCTTCGTGCTTTCGGAGTCCCTGACCCGCTGCTCATGATCATTAAGAACCTTCCTGATGGTGAGCGGGCCCGGGTAAAACTACGTGGCCGGGAGTCAGAGCCATTCCCTGTTCACTTTGGGGTGCGACAGTGATGTCCTCTAGCTCCCACATAATTTAACATCTATTTCGACCACGTAGTTCGTGAAGCCTTCAATAGCTGTACCGGAGGAATTTCCATCTGGTACAGACACAATGGAAGGCTGATCAATGCCTGGGTGCGGTCAAGGGATGGCTCCCTTTTGCTCAACCATGTTATGTATGCCGATGATCTGGTAAATGCTGCTCACTCAGAGGAGGAGTTGGAGGCGCTGCTTCTGAACCTGGAGCTTGCCACTAAGAGATGGGGCCTTACCATCAGCCCCACCAAAAACTAAGCACCTGCCTGGGTATTTTGTACCATTGGACACTCCACCCCCACAACTCCTAATTAGTGATGGGGCAGTTGTGGAGAGAGTGGAGAGTTTCCCATACCTGGGCAGTGTGCTCATAATCGGCTCTGGTTTGACAGCAGAGGTCTCACTCCGAATAAGTCGAGTGGCATTATCTTTTCATCGGTTGTGTAATGCTGTGTGGAAGCTATCTGGTCTGTCGCATCGCACGAAGCTTCAGGTCTTCTCGGCCACGGTCATTCCCTCCTTTCTCTACGATTGCGAAACGTGGACCCCCCTAATGGAACATCTTTGCCGGTTTAACCAGGCTGGATTGTGTGAGGAGCTCACATATCATTGAAAGATCTGGACAAAGTCCCATCGGTGAGCTCCTCCGGCAGGCAAGGCTGCTGGGTCATGTAGCCCGCATGCCCAGCCACCGCATGCCTCAACAGCTTTTGTTTGTCCGGATCGAGGGAGCTAAACGGGCGCGGCACGGGCTAGAGAAGAGATGGAGTGATGTGGTACAGGAGGACGTGGAGCTGAGTGGACTTGCCGATGACTGGTACCAGCGGTGTCAAGATCGGCCTGTGTGGAGGAGGCTCTTGAAGGACGCTGCTGGGCATTTGGAGGGAGTCGCCCTCCAACAATAACGGAGTGGGAGGAGCAACGCTCACAACAACGAGCAGAGCGCCGGGTGGCTAAAGCACAGCAAGTTGGCGCAATAGGGGGCACAGGTGACACAAGCGTCGTGGTAACGTAACCGCCACTTCGTGGCGAATGGCGGTTGTTGTTGTTGTTGTGTGTGTGTGTGTCTGTGTGTGAGTCTGTGTGTGAGTCTGTGTGCGATGGCCGAGACGACGGAGTGAGGAGAATAAATAAAATGAAGCGCTCGGTGCTGAACTCTCACAAACTGCAAGCAGATGTGACCCTGGCGAGCAGCAGTTAGAAATGTCGATGACAAATGCCCACCCCCTAACCCGCCCTCCTCCTCCCCTCCCCAAATCTGCCATCCTCACCGCTGTGAAGTTTCAACAACAACAACAACAAAAAATCAAAACTCGTCTACAAAACTGCCTTAAAAGAAAAAAAGAAAATCTATAACTGGCGACGTTTTGGGCAATGGCCCTGCTATCACAGCACGTGAAGAAGATGCTCAGCATTATGTTGTTGTTTGTGCTGTCGTCATCGCGACGAACCGTGATCTATGCACTGCATGAACCACATATACTCGCTGTCTGTGGTGTGGACCAATCAGCTTCAGAGACAATGCATCATCATATACCACCAGAGCATGTTTTGTGTATGCACGTTCACCACAACTATATGTGGTTAATGCAGAAATGGTTCATTGGAAAAGGTTTCAGTTTGGTGTTTTAACATCTTAACACAACTGTTTTATTGCCAGAAAGGGTCAAATCTATTCTTATACCTCACCAAGTATACATGAGGCCGTGGGTTCTATCGCGGCCCTGACGCCTGCTGTATTTGGAGTCTGCGTGTCTCTCTCCCCATGGTCGCGTTGATTTTTTTCTCCGGGTCCTTCGGTGTTTTCCCTCCACATTTAGAATCAGCATCACGCGTTTACAGTAGTTTTCTGCGATACATTTCCACGTGATGACGATGAGCCACTTCGTTGAGCTATCATCTGTGATGGCCAGGTCGCTTCTGAAAGCGAGCTACGTAGCTCAGTGGGCCTTACCTGGTAAGAAGACAAATAGTTTAGTTTAGTTTGGGAACGATGTCATTCACACCGCATGTGTTCTCGAGTCCACGTGTTGCTCTTTCTGCATCGCAGGGTCAACTCCACGGGTGGATCGCTCCCAGATATTTGCTTTTTTCGTTTTATTTTTGCCAGTGGCCCATGTTTTCTGGTCCATGTCATGGCAGGTAAAAAAAAGAACAGCACTGCAACTTAAAACTGTAAATGAGGACAGCAGTTGAAGAAGCGCAGACTACCATGGTGGGTTCACTGCGTGATCCATAGTTTGAGTTGCCATGGCTACAACCACACTTCTGTGTCCCTATGGGTCTCCATATATCTCGATGTGTCCCTATGGGTCTCCATGTATCTCGATGTGTCCCTATGGGTCTCCATGTATCTCGATGTGTCCCTATGGGTCTCCTTGTATCTCGATGTGTCCCTATGGGTCTCCATGTATCTCGATGTGTCCCTATGGGTCTCCATGTATCTTGATGTGTCCCTATGGGTCTCCATGTATCTTGATGTGTCCCTATGGGTCTCCATGTATCTCGATGTGTCCCTATGGGTCTCCATGTATCTCGATGTGTCCCTATGGGTCTCCATGTATCTCGATGTGTCCCTATGGGTCTCCATGTATCTCGATGTGTCCCTATGGGTCTCCATGTATCTCGATGTGTCCCTATGGGTCTCCTTGTATCTCGATGTGTCCCTATGGGTCTCCATGTATCTCGATGTGTCCCTATGGGACTCCATGTATCTCTGCGTGTCTCTGTGGATTTACTATACGGTGCTCAGCTTGGGTTGCATGGCCACAGTCACACTGCTGTGGCCTTGTGTCTTTAATTGTCCAATCGTAATCATCTAGTTTGTTGAGCTATCACTTGTGGCATGGTCGCTTTTGAAAAATAAGTGAATACCCCGTTGGTCTTTAACTGGTAAGATAAAAAAATAGTTACGTTTTTTAAAGTGGTTTGATTACTTTTCCTATACTTTGCACTCCGATCGTGTTTTTGCATTGTTTGTTGTAACGTTCTGATCCCGTGCGCCTACTTGACTTCTGCGAAAAAGAGTTCAATAGTTGATGGGATTCCTCTTGCAGCACACATTCATATTCCGATTCTGTTGATGTTGTTCCGATGTGGTCGATGTTTCTCACACGGTCGTGTCTTCGGGGGGGGGGGGGGGGGGGTGGGGGGGGTCTGAGGAATGTCGAGGCGAGGAGGTGGAGGCGCACTGATGACTGAACGCACCTCTTGCTAGGCCCGCGAGGCCTACCTGCAATTCATGGTCTCCATGGCCACCATGCTGAGGAGCGACCGCAAGCGGCCGCGGAGCGAGGAGGCCGTGCGCGAGGAGATGGCCATGGTCCTGGAGCTGGAGGTGGCGCTCGCCAACGTAAGCACCACCCAAGGCCGGCAGCGTCAGGGCTGCGCCTTTATCTCATTATCAGATTATTATCGTTTTTCTTTTTTAATATATATTTGAAATCAGTTTAACACGTAGGCTTTCGCGAACGATATTATCCGTGGAGTATTTGGCTGCTTTACATTTCCACGTGATAAGCCACTTCGTTTAGCTATCATTTGTGATAGCCATGTGGCTTCTGAGAAAGAGCTACGTAGCTAAGTGGGCCCTAGCTGGTAAAATAAAATATTGTGTTTTATATAGTACAAGTTTTTTGGGTTTTTTTTTAGCAAATGCTCGATTGATATTGCATGTGACTTCCCACAGTCAAAACACCAACTACATTTACGAACTATTTAATGATTAATGAATGTCAGCCCACACAGCCACAGAGCCACTTTACAGCCTCCTCCTCCTCCAGAACGTGCAGGGCAACCAGTCCACTTTGTTGTGTGAGATCGCGTAAATATAAATGTGTCGTTAAACCCGCCACCACCAGACACAGCCAATTATGTAAGGGTTGCCACGTAAATAAACCGTGCCAATCAGTTGCTAGTTCAGTATGTTGGAGAGTAAACCCACAAACATTTACAATTTTCGCTGGTGAACGTGTTCATTACCCTTGGTGGGTTTACAAAGCTCGTGAAGGACGCTCTACTCGTGCATTTGGAGGCAGTCGCCCTTCAACAACAGCTGAGAATAGAGGGACGACGCTCACAACAACGAGTGCAGCGCCGGGCGGCTAAATGCAGCGAGTTGGCACAGTGGGGAGCACAAGTCATGCACCTGCCAGTCATCTCGATCAACCCATGGCACCTGGGTGTATCCCGTGACCAGCAGCGGGCCTTCGACACTTCACGTGGCTTCGGAGTGCACCTAGCCTGGCACAAGCGCCGTGCTGGCGAACGGCGACTGCTGTTGTTTGGGGGTATAGCTGAAGAGAACGCTCAGATTTTGTCTGCAGTGGGCTGTAGGGGGGTTGAACCTTCCCTCCCCCCTCGGCACCCCTTTCTGATGAAGGCTTAGCCCAGAGGCCGATGGAGAAACTTCCCAGCGGAGGGGGTGGTCTTGAAATTCCCAGCTCTTTAAATCGTAGCTCCCCTACATTAATAAACAGCATAGTCGCTGTATTTTCTCGGATAAATATCAACAGAATCCAATATTCTGGGTCTCGGGGGGTTGGGGGTTGGGGCAATCGAACTACGAGAGCCGCTCCGAGCTTGCTCGCAGCGGCGGCTCTTGGCTGGCCACCGAACAAAGTCGGGCACTGCATCGCGCGCTTTCAGATGCGCTTCTGTGGCTGTCTGAGACGCTTCTGTGGCTGTCTGAGACGCTTCTGTGGCTGTCTGAGACGCTTCTGTGGCTGTCTGAGACGCTTCTGTGGCTGTCTGAGACGCTTCTGTGGCTGTCTGAGACGCTTCTGTGGCTGTCTGAGACGCTTCTGTGGCTGTCTGAGACGCTTCTGTGGCTGTCTGAGACGCTTCTGTGGCTGTCTGAGACGCTTCTGTGGCTGTCTGAGACGCTTCTGTGGCTGTCTGAGACGCTTCTGTGGCTGTCTGAGACGCTTCAGTGGCTGTCTGAGACGCTTCTGTGGCTGTCTGAGACGCTTCTGTGGCTGTATGAGACGCTGCTGTGGCTGTCTGAGACGCTTCTGTGGCTGTCTGAGACGCTTCTGTGGCTGTCTGAGACGCTTCTGTGGCTGTCTGAGACGCTTCTGTGGCTGTCTGAGACGCTTCTGTGGCTGTCTGAGACGCTTCTGTGGCTGTCTGAGACGCTTCTGTGGCTGTCTGAGACGCTTCTGTGGCTGTCTGAGACGCTTCTGTGGCTGTCTGAGACGCTTCTGTGGCTGTCTGAGACGCTCTTCCTGCCAATATTAGGAAGCTGCTGGAGCTAAGCATTTTAAAAGTTAATACTTACTTCTCTAGAAGTGCTCTTTTGGGTTTAGTTTATTGTCCTTCCCCCGCACATCCGATTATATTATCACGGTTGGCTACGTACGGTGTGCAGGAAGTTCAACATCCACGCACACGTGCCCCCTATTTGATCCACCACGGACTCAGCACCTCCCCCCCCCCTCGCTCGGCACGAGAACGGCGCGGAACGAGATAGGGGGCGGGGTCAGGGGGGGGGGGGGCTCGTTCTGTGCGGGCCATTGATCGACCGCTTGTGTTTTTTATTTGGGGGCGGGGGCCTTGTGTGGTGATTATTATTTTTGAGGGGCGGCGGGAATACTCGTGACAGTCGAGATTTAGAGCGGGCGTCCGATAACGCACGCACGGTAGGGGAAGGGCATGACCGAGTGATAGGGGAAGGGCATGGCCGAGCGGTAGGGGAAGGGCATAGCCGAGCGGTAGGGGAAGGGCATGGCCGAGTGATAGGTAAAGGGCATGGCCGAGTGATAGGTGAAGGGCATGGCCGAGTGATAGGTAAAGGGCATGGCCGAGCGGTAGGGGAAGGGCATGGCCGAGCGGTAGGGGAAGGGCATGGCCGAGCGGTAGGGGAAGGGCATGGCCGAGCGGTAGGGGAAGGGCATGGCCGAGCGGTTAATGCTGCGGGTGTCGCGCTAAGCCCATGACATTTACGACGCGCCGCCTGCTTCACGGCGGCCTTTGTAGATCCCGTGACGTTTTAGGCACAGATGGAGTTAGCCGCCGCATGTGCTGGTGACACGGTCCGAAGTTTCGAGAGACACAGAGACTCGCACTGATACCCACAGACTCGCACAGACACCCACAGAGACTCGCATAGAAACCCAGAAAAACTCGCACAGAGACCCATAGACTCGCATAGAGACCCACAGAGACTCGCACAGAGACCCACAGACTAACAGGGACCCAGAGAGACCCGCACAGGGACCCACAGAGACTCGCAGAGAGGCCCATCGACGAGAGGGGCTATAGAGATGTCACCGGCGCAGGGCTGGAGTAGTGGAGGGAGACCGAGGTGGAGATGCCAGGAGTCATCGTAAATGCGGCCGAGAGGAGAGAAGCTCGTGGGGAGCTGAACCCCCGACAGTCACGGCGGTCGAGGCGACTCGATGGGCCAACAAAGCGTCGTGTCATTTGCAAGCCTTTTCTTTGCGAAATATTTCAATGTGCCATAAAGAAGGTCCATCGCTCTAAACGTGACCGGTCAAACATTTGTCTCACAAGGCCAGGGTGTTGTTGACGACTGTGTAGAGTGCGAGTTTCAATGTTTATTAGAGTTTTACAAATGCCACTTGACAACTCTCCCCTCTCCCCCCACGCCTTTAACAAACGCTCCGCCCCCAGATCACGACGCCCACCGAGGAGCGGCAGGACATCACCAAGATGTACAACAAGATGACCCTGAGCGAGCTCGAGGACAAGTTCAAGCTTCCCGTGAGACGCAACGCCAACCACAACCGCACTCCCTCGCGTCCGCTCGCCGTGGCCAGCAAGAGGGGGGCCACCGCGTTCACCACACTGCGTCGTGCGCTGTGAACGCGCGGTGAACGCGCGGTGAACGTGCGGTGAACGTGCGGTGAACGCGCGGTGAACGTGCGGTGAACGCGCGGTGAACGTGTGGTGAACGCAGACATGACCCACAAGTAGTGGGCGGTGCAGCGGTGAACATTATCTGAACCGGTCCTAGGCCTCCCCCTACGTTGATTCGGCCTCGAATGAGTACGATGCAGTGAACATCGCCACTTGGGGAGACAAAGGTGGCCGGGAGTGGTGCTAGCTCCACTACCCCCCCTGTCGTGTGTCGTTCCGGCCTTCATATAGGTGCAACTGCTTGCAAACAGCACTTGTCCCAACAGTCTGTTAAGGCTACACAGGCGATCTTTATCTTTGAGCTCACAACAAAACGGAGGCGAGAGAATTTCGCGAGCGGCAGAAAGCAAACAGAAAACAACGCGCGGACTCTCCAGGACAGGGTCGGTCGTTAAAACAAAAAAAAATCCCCCGTTCGATTGACGTGAAATTAAACAAAGAACGCGAAAAAAAACACCTCCACGCCGCCTTTCGCACGGGGCGATGCCGCGTGATGAACGACATTCAGCGCCCCCCTCCTCCTCCTCCCGCGGACGCAGTGCGGGGCCCGCGTCGCGTGGCCTCGATCGGCACGGTCACCGCCCACCCCCCCCCCCCCGTGTCCCCTCTTGTAACGTGGGCGACAAAGGCTCGGAAATGTGCAGATTGAGAAATGTCCCCCCCCCCAACACACATTTATTTTCAAACAAAAGGAGAGCGAGAGACGTTCTCCCGTTTGGACAAGAAGTGGAACAGTAAATCACAAAAAAGCCCCCCCCCCCACCCCCACCCCTCCCTGGGTGTTCTCACGACTCGCAAAGTGACACACAGTGGGTTCACACCGTGCGCGGCCGAGTTCGGCAGCGTAGCAAGAGGTCATCGCGATACCGTCGGTGACACCACGCCTCGCCCTCGCTTCCTTCCTCCCTTCCTCCCAGACCCCGTGCTTGTTGTAGAGTTGACACCCCACCTCCTGAGGTTGTCCCACTCTCACAGTCTCATCACCACCACCACCACCACCACGTGGCTTTAGGTCTTAGGTCTTCTCTTCCCCTTGGCCGCTGACGTCTGGGCGCCACTCCAATACTGTTTCGGTGACCTGCCCTCCTCCGTCACCCTGCACACCACGTGTCCCACCCATCACTACCACCTCCACTTTGCACACCACGTGACCCACCCATCACTACCTCCTCCTCCACCCCACACACCACGTGACCCACCCATCACTACCTCCTCCTCCACCATGCACACCACGTGTCCCACCCATCACTACCTCCTCCTCCACCCCACACACCACGTGTCCCACCCATCACTACCTCCTCCTCCACCCTACACACCACGTGTCCCACCCATCACTACCTCCTCCTCCACCCCACACACCACGTGTCCCACCCATCACTACCTCCTCCTCCACCCTGCTCACCACGTGACCCACCCATCACTACCTCCTCCTCCACCCTACACACCACGTGACTCACCCATCACTACCTCCTCCTCCTCCACCCTACACACCACGTGACTCACCCATCACTACCTCCTCCTCCACCCTGCACACCACGTGTCCCACCCATCACTACCTCCACCCTGCTCACCACGTGACCCACCCATCACTACCTCCTCCTCCACCGTGCACACCACGTGTCCCACCCATCAGAACTTCCCACAATGAGGTGGGAAATTTTAGAGGGGAGGCCCCATTTTCCACGCCTTCCACCAGGGCGGCAACAGCACTCAGCAGCTGGGTACAACTTCTCTCATCACTCTGCCTCCGCACTCGCGGTTGTCACTCTTCTATCGCTAATACCATGGTCACTGTTGCCGTGAACTTCACTCGTTGATTCCTCCACCCACGTTGAGTAACTCGGTCAACCAGACATCGCATACTCTGTGCGTTCAACCACCACCACCACCCACCACGCTGCAGGTCACAACAGCCACTCAGCCGCTCACCCAGTCACCACACCGCAGGTCACAACTCTTTCGTGCTCCACTTTGGAATTCCCAAATAAGCTTGCGCAAATCAAGAACCGTGTTACACACTGTGACGTGTTACACACTGTTACGTGTTACACACTGTGACGTGTTACACACTGTTACGTGTTACACACTGTGACGTGTTACACACTGTGACGTGTTACAACTTTGACAGTGCTGTTCGTGTCTGGTCTCTTTACGTTTTGGTCCATTGCTCATGTTTTGGCCCTGTGATTATATGATTGTTTACAGTGATAAAGCGATGGCAGTGGTGGAGGTGATGGTGTTGATGCTGGTGGCATGATTGTTGTGGTGATGGCAGTGGTGGAGGTGATGGTGTTGATGCTGGTGGCATGATTGTTGTGGTGATGGCAGTGGTGGAGGTGATGGTGTTGATGCTGGTGCCATGATTGTTGTGGTGATGGCAGTGGTGGAGGTGATGGTGTTGATGCTGGTGGCATGATTGTTGTGGTGATGTCAGTGGTGGAGGTGATGGTGTTGATGCTGGTGGCATGATTGTTGTGGTGATGGTAGTGATGGAGATGATGGTGTTGATGCTGGTAGTATGATTGTTGTGGTGATGGCAGTGGTGGAGGTGATGGTGTTGATGCTGGTGGCATGATTGTTGTGGTGATGGCAGTGGTGGAGGTGATGGTGTTGATGCTGGTAGTATGATTGTTGTGGTGATGGCAGTGGTGGAGGTGATGGTGTTGATGCTGGTGGCATGATTGTTGTGGTGATGGCAGTGGTGGAGGTGATGGTGTTGATGCTGGTAGTATGATTGTTGTGGTGATGGCAGTGGTGGAGGTGATGGTGTTGATGCTGGTAGTATGATTGTTGTGGTGATGGCAGTGGTGGAGGTAATGGTGTTGATGCTGGTGGTATGATTGTTGTGGTGATGGTAGTGGTGGAGGTGATGGTGTTGATGCTGGTAGTATGATTGTTGTGGTGATGGCAGTGGTGGAGGTGATGGTGTTGATGCGGGTGGTAGGATTGCTATGGTGATTCGGTGATGGCGGTGGTGTCGCTGTTGATGCCCGTGCTATGATTGTTACAATGGCATGGTGTTGTTAGCGGTGGTGGTGGCGAGCGTACGGCTACGGTGGTATGACAGTGAGGCCACCCGCCCGCTCGCCAGGGCTTCGAGTGGACGAGGTTCGTGCGCTCCGTGTTGGCGAGCGTCAACGTGACGGTGCCGAGCGAGGAGGACGTCGTCGTCTACGCGCCCGAGTACCTCGCCAAGCTGCCGGACGTCCTCGGCAAGTACCCAGCGAGGTACGTGACAGTCGGTCCGTGAGTCGGCGCCAGTGCTGGTGCTGCTGGTGGTGCTGGTGGTGGTGATGGTGGTGGTGCTGCTGGTGGTGGTGGTGCTGCTGCTGGTGGTGCTGGTGGTGGTGCTGGTGGTGCTGGTGCTGCTGGTGCTGGTGCTGCTGGTGGTGCTGGTGCTGGTGGTGGTGGTGCTGGTGGTGGTGGTGCTGGTGGTGGTGGTGGTGCTGGTGCTGGTGCTGGTGGTGGTGGTGCTGGTGGTGCTGGTGGTGGTGGTGGTGCTGGTGGTGGTGGTGCTGCTGGTGGTGGTGTTGGTGCTGGTGGTGCTGGTGGTGCTGGTGGTGGTTCTGGTGGTGCTAGTGGTGGTGGTGCTGGTGGTGGTGCTTCTGGTGGTGCTGGTGGTGGTAGTGCTGGTGGTGGTGCTGCTGGTTGTGGTGCAGCTGGTGGTGGTGCTGGTGGTGCTGGTGGTGGTGCTGGTGGTGGTGCTGCTGCTGGTGGTGCTGGTGGTGGTGCTGCTGGTGCTGGTGGTGGTGCTGGTGGTGGTGCTACTGGTGGTGGTGCTGCTGGTGGTGCTACTGCTGCTGGTGGTGGTGCTATTGCTGGTGGTGACGCTGCTGGTGGTGCTGGTGGTGCTGGTAGTGCTGCTGCTGGTGGTGCTGCTGCTAGTGGTGGCAGTGGTGCTGGTGGTGGTGCTGCGGCTGGTGGTGGTACTGGTGGTGGTGGTAGTGCTGCTGGTGGTGGTGCTGCTGATGGTGGTGGTGCTGCTGCTGGTGGTGGTGCTATTGCTGGTGGTGGTGCTGGTGGTGCTGGTACTGTCACCCTGCACTACAGCTCCTGTCTCCCTGCACTACAGCTCCTGTCACCCTGCACCACAGCTCCTGTCACCCTGCACTACAGCTCCTGTCACCCTGCACTACAGCTCCTGTCACCCTGCACTACAGCTCCTGTCACCCTGCACCACAGCTCCTGTCTCCCTGCACTACAGCTCCTGTCACCCTGCACCACAGCTCCTGTCACCCTGCACTACAGCTCCTGTCACCCTGCACCACAGCTCCTGTCTCCCTGCACTACAGCTCCTGTAACCCTGCACCACAGCTCCTGTCACCCTGCACTACAGCTCCTGTCACCCTGCACCACAGCTCCTGTCACCCTGCACTACAGCTCCTGTCAACCTGCACTACAGCTCCTGTCACCCGGGAAGACTAGAGGAGATGTCCTAGGATAGCAGCTGCCTCCTCTACACGAGGACGGTCCTGGGAAAACCGGGACAGGTGGCAACCGTGCTACAAGGCAGCCTGCATCGGTGCCCTCGTGCAGCGCTTGGCCCGAATGGTCCGGTGCAGGCTACACGGGGGACCTTTGTCTTTATCCTCGCGTGCAGAGTCCTTCAGAACTACATTGCGTGGAGGCTGGTGAAGGAGATCGTGTTCACGCTGAGCCAACGGTACAAGGAGGTTCACTCAAGCTTCAAGAAGGTAGCGCGCACGTGCCCCACGCCACGTGCCCCATGTCACGTGCCCCACGTCACGTGCCCCACGCCACGTGCCCCACGCCACGTGCCCCACGCCACGTGCCCCACGCCACGTGCCCCACGCCACGTGCCCCACGCCACGTGCCCCACGTCACGTGCCCCACGCCACGTGCCCCACGTCACGTGCCCCACGTCACGTGCCCCACGCCACGTGCCCCACGCCACGTGCCCCACGTCACGTGCCCCACGCCACGTGCCCCACGCCACGTGCCCCACGCCACGTGCCCCACGCCACGTGCCCCACGCCACGTGCCCCACTTCACGTGCCCCACGCCACGTGCCCCACGTCACGTGCCCCACGTCACGTGCCCCACGCCACGTGCCCCACGCCACGTGCCCCACGCCTCCTCCCGGGATTGCCTCTTCGTGGGGGTGGTAAATCTGGGGCCGTCCATAAATGACGTCACGCACCTAGCGGAGGGGGGGTGGGGGTCAGACATTTGTGACAATGTGTGACGACGGGGAGGGGGGGGGGGTTGAGATATATGACGTCACATCAAAATGCGCAACTTTAAATAATTATAGACAACACGTTCTACTGAATTAAATAGACTTTTTTTTTAACAAATGTTAACTCCTACAACATCAGATTGCAGCGCCACATTAAATACGCACTACAATGACAATAGTTTAAAGCGATTTGAAGCATGTTTTATTCTTTTTTTGGGGGGGGGGGTGCAGAGCGTTGTGTTGTCATATTATAAGGGGGGGGGGTCTGACTTTTTGTGACGTCGTGTGACAGAGGTGGGGGGGGGGGGGGTCAAAAATCGTCCAAAATCGCGTGACGTCATTTATGGACGGCCCCTAAGGGGACCGGACAGAGAGGGGAGTCCTCGCGAGAGGATGGCGGCTCGCATGATATCGTTGTCAAGGAAGATGCGGCACTGAGGAGAGTGGAAACAGAAGAGGCGGAGTGCAGTCAACACCTAGAGGCTAACTCCCCATGGAGCATGATGATCATACTGCTGACGAGTGTTATTGATGAACGACGATCATTTCCTGCTCCCAACGAGCACTGGGGCATTGGTGCTTATCTCCTGCTTAGTTATGTAATTTAATTATTTGTCTTTATTTATGTTTAGTGACTTATTTACCTTTTCACTACTTTGCACTCTCGTAGTTTTTGTCGTTGTTGTTGTATCGTTGGTTGTTGTACCTTGCTGACCCGCCCCTACTGGACATCTGTGACCAAAAAAGAGCTTCATAGCTCATCGGATTTCCTCCAGTAAAATTTCCTGAATCTGCTTCTGATAACAGCCCTGAGCCCACTAGTTGGAATTCCACTTCCCTATGGCCGCCGTGGGCCCAGGCGTGGCCCTGGCACGGCTCGGCTCGCGCGGTGAAAAACAAAACAACCCCCATCACCACCCCCCCTCCCGCAAGCCGAGAGTCCGTGACTCGTGGCGTTGCAGGCGCTGCTCGGCACCACGTCGGAGGACGCGCGGTGGCGAGAGTGCGTGGGAGGCGTCAACTCGAACATGGAGAACGCCGTGGGGTCGCTCTACGTGCGTCAGGTGTTCGCCGGCGAGAGCAAGCAGATGGTGAGTAGAGGGGGGGGGAACAACCACACACACTCCACACACACCCCACACACACCACACACACACCCACACACACCCCACACAAACACCCACACACACCCCACACACACCCCACATACCCCACCCCACACACACCCACACACACCCCACACACACACCTCACACACACCCCACACACACCCCACACACACCCCACACACCACACCTCACACACACCCCACACACACACCTCACACACACCCCACACACACCCCACACATCACCCCACACACCACACCTCACACACCCCCCACACACACCCCACACACCCCACCCCACATACACCCCACACACACACCACACACACACCTCACACACACCCCACACACACCCCACACACACCCCACACACACCCCACACGCACCCCACACACACACACCCACACACACCAACACACACACTCACACACACACCCCACACACCACACCCCACACACACCCCACACACCCCACCCCACACACACCCCACACACACCCCACACACCCCACCCCACATACACCCCACACACACCCCACACACACACCTCACACACACCCCACACACACCCCACACACACCCCACACACACCCCACACGCACCCCACACACACACACCCACACACACCAACACACACACTCACACACACACCCCACACACCACACCCCACACACACCCCACACACCCCACCCCACACACACCCCACACACACCCCACACACACACCTCACACACACCCCACACACACCCCACACACACCCCACACACACACACCCACACACACCCCACACACACCCCACACACACACCCACACACACCCCACACAGACACCCACTCACACCCCACACAGACACCCACTCACACCCCACCCCACACACACACCCCACACACACCCCACACACACCCCACGCACACACCCCACACACACCCCCACACACACCCCACGCACACACCCCACACACACCCCACACACCACACCCCACACACACCCCACACACCCCACACACACACCCACACACACCCACACACACCACACACCGACCCCACACACCCCACCCCACACACACCCCACACACAAACACACACCCCAAACACACCCCACACACACACTCCACACACACCCCACACCCCCACCACACACACACCCCACACACACCCCACACACACACCCACACACACCCCACACACACCCACACACACCCCACACACACACTCCACACACACCCCACACACACACCCCGCCACCCGCCCTCGCCCAATCGTAGCGCGCGTTGTTCGTGGTGTCCCGACGTTTCGAAGGGCGCGCGTGTCGGGAGTTTCTTGGTGCGTCGGTTCGTCGAGAAGATGAGGAAGAAGAAGAAGAAGATGAGGAAGAAGAAGAAGATGATGAGGAAGGAGACGATGAGGAAGAAGAAGAAGCGTCACTTGCAGGGGCGGCTAGGGGAGAGAGAGAGAGAGCGTTCCGTCTGTGAGCGCGGTCGTGAGCCAGCACAGTCTGGTTCGGCTATATGGGGGATTTTGACTTAAAGCTTTCGTGACTACAGGAATTCATATTCTTTGGGTCTTTTGGCAAAGTCACGTAGATAGGTTCAAAGAAAATAACAACAAACTACGACGTTTCGATCGCAACACAAGCGGTCGTCATCAGGAAAAGGCGACCGCTTGTGTTGCGATCGAAACGTCGTAGTTTTAAGTTATTTTGTTATTTTCTTTGAACTTATCTACGTGACTTCACCGAAAGACCCAGAGAATATATGGGGGACCTTTGCTTTTTGTGTATGCGTTACCACTTTTGTAGAACTTTGTTGACACCAATGAAACGTTTGTGGGTGGTTTGTAGCAGATGTTAACTACCTCGCCTGGTGTGCAGGGTGTCGTGGGTTCGATCCCGACCCTGACGCCTGCTGCTGCTGTATATTTGCAGTTTGCGTGTGTCTCTCCCCGTGGTCGCGCGGATTTCTCTCCAGGTCCTACGGTATTCCCCTCCGCATTTAGAATTAACATCACCACGCGTTTATAGTTTTTGCCTGCTATAAATGCCTACATGGTGATGATCCACTTCGCTGAGCTATAATTTGTGGCCAGGTCACTTCTGAAAAAGAGCCTTATAGCAGCTCAGTGGGCCTTACCTGGTAAATCCACAAACCAGGCCGCGAAGGAGGGCTCTGGTTTGGCATGCGCGTCTCTGGCCAGCTGCTTAAAAGCTACAAAATGATTATGGCAGTGACTTCACGTTCGCGATGGCGTAGATTGGAAGCCCGCGGTTGTTTTCGCTAGAGCTTGTGTTATGCAACTTACTCCCGCTCGCAAATTCCTTGCACCATTACCACCGTGCAAACCCACGGCGGTCTTGGAGACTCCCCCCCTCCCCGCCGCCCCCACGGCCTTTGAGGAATTTTGAAACGATGCATGCAGTCACCTGGTTAGTTAAAGCGACCCCCCCCCCCACCAATCGCCCACCCAATAAAACCCGTTCCGAGAGGCTGCGACTGCCACATCAGCGGATTGTCGACGAATCGGGCGAGGCCTTCATGCAGCAGTGGATTGATCACGGCCGATGGCAGTCGTGGTTACGCCGGACGCATGCGGGCGCAGGGCACGATTGCCCAAACGTTTCGTGACATCGGATGGCCCATTTCTTCACGCGCAGGTGGACGAGATCATTGGCAGGATAAGGCAGGTGTTCATCGAGAAGCTGGACGAGATGGAGTGGATGGACGGCTCCACCAAGGTCAAGGCGCAGGAGAAGGTAGTCTGGCTCCCCCCTCTCTCCTTCCTCCTTCTTCTTGCACGAGCCAATGGAGCCAATTTCTTAACCCACCCCCCCCCCACCCACCCTCCTCCTATATCCACTCAGCAGAATTAAATAAATGGTTTCAACCGCAGTTCGTCGATGGATCGACAGGTCCGTCGCGTGTGGTGGGGTCAAATGTGGGTTACTCCCACCTAGAGGTGAGAGACAGCAACTTCGTGAGGGGTGCGGGGGGGGGGGCAGGTACGTGCCCCCAGAGAGACGTTCTCTCAAGCGTCGTCGGCGAAGGGAGGACGATAGCGAGCACCTGCGGTGAGCACGGTTGGCTACGTACGGGGCGAAATAAGTTCAACGTACGCACATACACCATACTCGTTGTGTTCTCGCCTGGTTAAGAGCTTCACAGCTCATCAGATTCCTGCGGTGCAAATAAACATTCTGGAGAAAATAAAACTCGGAACTTCTACGCCCACTTCGCCTACCCCCCTCCTCCTTCACCAGCCTGTACTGACCAGCATGGTGAAGTATGGTCAAACAACCATTCCACGGCGTGGCGCGGCCTCTCATCCAGCAGTGGATTGACAAAAAAGGTCTACGTATACGCGTCCCTTTGATGAACACAAACACACTTTAAAAGTAACACTTCTCAAAATGTCACTCTTTCATTTTATTTACAGGCGGAAAGCATCAAGGAGATGATTGGCTACCCGGATTACATCCTGGATGACGACGACCCCAAGTTGGACGAAGAGTACAAGAACGTAAGGGAACGAGCCTGGTGATCATGGCGAGAGAGCAGAGACAGAGAGCAGGGACAGAGAGTAGGGAGAGAGACACAAAGCAGAGACAGAGAGCAGGGAGAGAGACACAAAGCAGAGACAGAGAGCAGGGACAGAGAGTAGGGAGAGAGACAGAGAGATCATAGAGCAGAGACAGAGAGTAGGGAGAGAGACAGAGAGATCATAGAGAGAGCAGGGAGAGAGACAGAAAGATCATAGAGCAGAGACAGAGAGCAGGGAGAGAGACACAAAGCAGAGACAGAGAGCAGGGACAGAGAGTAGGGAGAGAGACAGAGAGATCATAGAGCAGAGACAGAGAGCAGGGAGAGAGACAGATAGATCATAGAGCAGAGACAGAGAGCAGGGAGAGAGACACAAAGCAGAGACAGAGAGCAGGGACAGAGAGTAGGGAGAGAGACAGAGAGATCATAGAGAGAGCAGGGAGAGAGACAGAGAGATCATAGAGAGAGCAGGGAGAGAGACAGAGAGATCATAGAGAGAGCAGGGAGAGAGACAGAGAGATCATAGAGAGAGTCGGGAGAGAGACAGAGAGCAGAGACAGAGAGTAGGGAGAGAGACAGAGAGCAGAGAGGGACACAGAGAGGCAACAGAGAGAGAGAGAGCAGGGAGTGAGACAGACAGAGAGAGAGCAAATCGAAAACGAATGTCTTTAGAACTCCTTTTGTGTTTAGTTTGTTGTCCTCCCCCTCCAATTAGCATGGTTGGCTATGTACGGCGCGAAAGAAGTGCAACATACACACGACAAAGAGAGAGCAGGGTCAGAGCAGAGAGAGACAAAGAGAGAGACAAAGAGATAAAGAGAGAGAGAGAGCAGGGACAGCAGACAGAGCAGGGACAGAGAGAAAGAGACAAAGCGAGAGCAACAGTTGGGGCCAACGTCGGCACGTGGGGCGTGAGCCGCAGGCCAACGTGGCGCCGTTCGAGCGATGCGCCTCTGTCGTCCCTTCGCAGCTGAACTTCGGCGAGGCGTCGTACTTTGAGAACACGCTGGAGAACATGCACGACGGCGTGCAGAAGAGCCTGCAGAAGCTGCGCGAGCCAGTCAACAAGGACGCGTGAGTCACCCCCCCCCCCCCCAGAGCGGGACACGGCAGGTCGAGTGACCGCGCCAGGGCAGCGGCGAGCGCCACGCTGCCGCTGCGAACCCGGCGGCCCGAGTTCGATTCCCGCTCACGGCCAACACCACCAGTGACGATTGTCTGAACCGGTCGTGGGCCTCCCCTAGGTTGACTCGGTCTCAAATGAGTACCCGGTGCGGTGTGTAAACATCGCCACTGGGGAGACAAAGGCGGCCGGGCGTGGTGCTGGCCACCCACTCCCTCGTGTGCCGTGCCGGCCTTCGTAGGTGCTCGCTGACAGCACTCGCCCCTGCAGTCTGTTAAGGCTACACGAGGGATCTTTGTCTTTGACGTTGATGATGTTGAAAGAGCACAGTGATGACAGCACAATAATAATAATTTGTAGAAGCGTGTGTGTATGTGTATAGTGTTTAACACCATGGAGTATCTCTATGCGACGTGCAGACACAGCATCAAAACAGCGCCGAGGAATCGTCAAACAACACGCAGGCGATGCACAGTGACCGTGAACTGTGACGTGAGAGTGCGGTGTCAATTCGATGACCAAACAGAAGGACCGAAGCGCACACGTGATCCTTTATTGAACCGTGATCCATTATTGAACCGTGATCCTTTATTGAACCGTGGTCCTTTATTGAACCGTGGTCCTTTATTGAACCGTGATCCTTTATTGAACCGTGGTCCTTTATTGAACCGTGATCCTTTATTGAACCGTGATCCATTATTGAACCGTGATCCTTTATTGAACCGTGATCCTTTATTGAACCGTGATCCTTTATTGAACCGTGATCCTTTATTGAACCGTGATCCTTTATTGAACCGTGATCCTTTATTGAACCGTGATCCTTTATTGAACCGTGGGCCTTTATTGAACCGTGATCTTTTATTGAACCGTGATCCTTTATTGAACTGTGATCCTTTATTGAACCGTGATCCTTTATTGAACCGTGGTCCTTTATTGAACCGTGATCCATTATTGAACCGTGATCCTTTATTGAACCGTGGGCCTTTATTGAACCGTGATCCTTTATTGAACCGTGTTTCTTTATTGAACCGTGATCCATTATTAAACCGTGAATCACGGTTTAATAATTGATCACGGTTCAATAAAGGAGCGGTAGTGTAGCGCGCTGCGCTATGAACCTGGCGACCCGGGTTCGATTCCCGCTCATGGCCAACACCAGTGACGATTATCTGAACCGGTCCTGGGCCTCCCCTAGGTCGACTTAGCCTCAAATGAGTACCTGGTGCGGTGGATAAACATCCCCACTGGGGAGACAAAGGCGGTCGGGCGTGGTGCTGACCACCCACCCCCTTGTGTACCGTTCCGGCCTTCATAGGTGATCGCTAACAGCACTTGCACCTACAGTCTGTTAAGGCTATACGGGGGATCTTTATCTTTGTGTGTAGGTGTGTAGGTGTGTGTGTGTAGGTGTGTAGGTGTGTGTGTGTAGGTATGTAGGTGTGTGTGTAGGTGTGTGTGTGTAGGTGTGTGTGTGTAAGTGTGTGTGTGTAGGTGTGTGTGTGTGTGTAAGTGTGTGTGTGTGTAGGTGTGTGTGTGTGTGTAAGTGTGTGTGTGTGTAGGTGTGTGTGTGTGTAAGTGTGTGTGTAGGTGTGTGTGTGTGTAGGTGTGTGTGTGTGTGTGTGAGTTTGACGTTGAGATGTTCTTCACAGATGGGTGGGTGGAGCTGCGGAGATCAACGCCTTCTACACACCGAGCCGCAACAAAATCGGTGGGTTGCCCCCAGGACACGCGTCGGCACCAGGACACGCGTGTCGCGTTGACGTAGCTGTGTCGTGGCGAGATGTTAACTACCTCTCCTGGTATACATGAGCTTGTCTCACCTGATGACGGTTGCTTGTGTTGCGATCGAAACGTCGTGATCTAGTAATTTTCTACCTACGTGATGGCTTTACCGAAAGAACCAAAGAGTATGGATTCCTGCAGTGACGAAAGCTTCGAATCAGGATTCAAATCAAGTTAGGAGCTTGTGGGTTCGATCCCAACCCTGATGCTTGTATATTTGGAGTTTGCGTGTCTCTCTCTCCACGTGGTCACGTGGACTTTTCTCCGGGTCCTCCGGTTTTTCCTTCCACATTTAGAATCAAACTTGCGCTTTGAGTATTTGGCTGCTGTACATTTCAACGTGATAAGCCAGTGAGCCACACCTTGTGAAATACTTTTTTTTTGTATCGTTTTAGTCGAGCATCGCGATCGTCCAGTTTCGTAACCGTTTGCTGGACTCGCGCCAGCAAACGAACTCTAACCGCGTTCCACGTGGCCCCTCCCACCCACAGTTTTCCCGGCTGGAATCCTGCAGCCGCCCTTTTTTTCCAAGGGGCAGCCGCGGTCGCTGAACTACGGCGGCATCGGCATGGTGATCGGGCACGAGATAACGCACGGCTTCGACGACAACGGTGCGGCGACCATCGCCCACAGCGGCCGTCGTATTGTCTCTTTGCCGTTTCGAGCGTGGCCCGTCGGTGCGTCTCTCGCGATCGCCGTGGGAGCACGGGCGAGATGGAAGGCGGCGGCCAGGGCGGCGAGCGGGCGCCGCCAACAATTGGCCAAGCTCTGCGGTCCTCTGCGTGTGAATGTTTTCAGCCGATTAGTGAGCGTTTACAGATATATACGAGCGACGAAACCGGAGCGTGTAAGGGGGGGGGGGGGGGGGGGGTAATGCTCTGTCCCATACAGAAGGGACAGCTGATATATTAGTCAGCACTTTGCCTGCTCTTTATGTTCCGTATGTTTGTCCTTCCCCTGCACCTCCCATTAGCGCGGTTGGCTACGTACAGTGCGAAAGATGTTCGGCATAATAGATAGACTCATCACACAGAGACCCATAGACTCATCACACAGAGACCCATAGACTCATCACACAGAGACCCATAGACTCATTACACAGAGACCCATGGAATCACACAGAGACCCATAGAATCACACAGAGACCCATAGACTCACACAGAGACCCATAGACTCACACAGAGACCCATAGACTCACACAGAGACCCATAGACTCACACAGAGACCCATGGACTCACACAGAGACCCATAGACTCACACAGGGACCCATAAACTCACACAGAGACCCATAGACTCACACAGAGACCTATAGACTCACACAGGGACCCATAGACTCACACAGACCCATGGACTCACACAGAGACCCATGGACTTACAGAGACCCATAAACTCACACAGAGACCTATAGACTCACACAGAGACCCATGGACTCACACATAGACCCATGGACTCACACAGAGACCCATAGACTCACACAGAGACCCATAGACTCACACAGAGACCCATGGACTCACACAGAGACCCATAGACTCACACAGAGACCCATAGACTCGCACAGAGACTCACAGTTTGTTGTCCTTCCCCCCGCACCTCTGATTAGCGTGGTTGGTTACGTATGGTGCGAAAGAAGTTCAACGTACACACACACGCGTGTACCGCCTCCTCCTGGCGAGCCAGGGTGCAATTGTTGGTTTTTCCCCGACGCCCGCGCGAGTTCCCAAACAACGAGAGAACGACGGCGTCGATTCGTGGCTTGGCTAACGAGGGCGGCGCTGGCCACGCGCGAGGGTCACCTGCGCCACGCGCCACGCGGAACGTAGCAGCGCAACGCCCGTCTCGTTTCTGGCAGGACGCAATTACGACAAGGACGGGAACCTCAACAACTGGTGGTCCAACTCGTCGGCCGTGAGCTTCAAGAATCTCTCCCGGTGCATGGTCCATCAGTACGGCAACTTCACCTGGGACATAGCCGGGAGGCAGAACGTAAGTGGCTCTCGGGTGAATTTACGAAGGCAATCAAAAAATAATGACGACAATGTCCGCTTGTGAGTGAGTAAGTGAGTGAGTGACTGGGTGGGTGAGTGAGCGAGTGGGTGGTTGAGTGAGTGAGGGAGTAGGTGGGTGGGAGAGTGAGTGGGTGGGTGGTTGAGTGAGTGAGTAGGTAGGTCGGTGGGTCGGTGGGTGGTCGAGTGAGTGAGTGAATAAGTTGGTGGTTGAAGTGGTGAGTGAGCGAATCGGTGGCCGGTTTTTCGCTGCACTGCGACGATGAGCGACGAGCGTGTGAGCGAGGAGGAGCAAGGCAGCATAGCCCCCTGTGTGACGGCACTGTGTCGTCCTCCCTCCTCCTGCGTCTCTCAGCTGAGCGGCGTCAACACGCTGGGAGAGAACATCGCCGACAACGGCGGCATCCGGCAGGCATACCAGGCGAGTGCACCCCCCCCCCCATCCCGGCATAGCGGCGTCCTCCCTCCAAGGAGGAGAAGGAGGAGCGCTCGTCTGCCCCCCCCCCCCCCCCCCCTTGGCTCCAGGCACCGACCTGATGGGATGTGTGAAAAAAACGAAAACCCCGCACACTCTTGTTCGCTGCGCGCCGCCGTCACGATGCGGCTGCATCGTCGCCACCGCCGGGTCATTGGATTTCTCGTTTCCAGGCGTTCACGAAGATCGCGGCGGATGAGAAGGAGGAACCCACACTCCCGGGCCTCAACTTAAACCACAAGCAGCTCTTCTTCCTGAACTTTGCCCAGGTACCTTCATCCACCTTGACGAGAATCGCCGTGCACGATTCGAGAAACGCCCTCGGCTGGACCTGTCTCTTAGCAACTTTGACAGCAGCGCGAATTGTCGCCGGCCATTTGGCGTTCTGTTTCTTTGGGCCTGCGCTCATCAACTGCATGAAATTTTTTTTTAAATAAAAAAAATTATAATGATGATTATAATAATAATGCGTTGCCGCAATATTGATGACGGTGCTGTTTGTTGCCGGCCGCTTGGCGTTGTCGGCCTTCGGCGATGTCCTCAGGTGTGGTGTGGCACGTATCGACCAGAGTCGGCCAGCATCTCCATCAAGGCCGACTCCCACAGCCCCGGCCAGTTCAGGTTCGTACTGTACGCATGTACTGTACGGCGAACTTCTCTCGTACCGTACGTAGCCAAGCGCGCTCATCATCACCGTGCCGCCGCCGACGTTCCCCGTCGTCACCCAGGTGGCAGATGAAGGGGGCACGTAGCGGGCGTGGGGGCACACGGTGGGGTAGGTGGCCGTGATGGGGGAGTGGGGCCAAGTGGAGGGGCACGCACTTTGTAATCTCTGCAGTGGGCAGGTGTATGAAAAATAAGAATAGGTTTTGCCCTTTCTGCCAATGCAACATGTGTTAAGATGTTCAAACACCAAATAGGTCACCTTTTGCAAGGAATCAAGTCTGCATTAACCACACGTACTTGTGGTGAACATACAAACAAACACGTGGCTCTGATAATAATATACTTGCATTGTCTTTGAAACTGATTGGTCTCCACCAGAGACAGCCTTCTTCATGGCCTAGTCTCACGAACAGTGTCAGACCAGAACATGCCAAAAGGCGACCAGTACAAAGACAATGCATGTATCAGAGCATTCATAGCTCGGGTGAGCAGCTATATCATGGGACCTTTTTTCCCAATATCAAAGTATGAAAAAACAAGACTTTGTAATGCTTGTTTTATTTCCAGAAATTGTAATCGAGATTTTTGGTTAGGGTACGCTACGATCTGGCCAAATGTATTATGTGGTAAGGCCCTCCACCATCCTGCATAGCCACACGCATTGTCGGTGTTTGTAGAGGCGATAGCGACTGGATAATCTTGCCACGTCCATTACACAGCCTAGCCCAAGAATCCTGAATTCCGCCGCCCCTTTCTACCCAGCCGTATAAACGGGTACTCCGCAAGTCAATCAGGTGTGGTGGAGTTGAGTGTGGGTACTCCCACCTCTTCGAAGATGTCTGGCCAGCGTAGAAAAGTTGGCGCGAGCGGGCAATTGCCGGGCTGCGCCTTTACAATTTAGAATGGCTATGCACATAGAAGAAGACAACCTGATGATTCAGGCAGTGATGAGAAGGAAACTGGCACTACTTGGACATGTCTGGAGGATGGACAACAACAGGAAAATTTGAAGTGTGGTGTTGTTGTTGTTCGGGAAAATGGAAGTAACTGAAACGAGAAGAAGACCTAACAGAGAATGGCTTGACGATGACATTAGAGATTGGTGCCAGAAAGATGTGGCCACTACTTGAGCCATATTGGCACTACAAGACAGAGGAGAGTGGAAACAAATGGCGAAATGTGCAGTGGACACCTATGGGGCTATCTGCCCATAGATCATGATGATGAAGCGGTATTCAAACACTGGCGATGCCGCTGCATGTGTGTGCGCGCGTGCGTGCATGTGTTTTTTTCAGGGTCACCGGCGTCCTGCAGAATTTCGAGGAATTTGCGGAGGCGTTTCAGTGCAAAGCCAACGATTTCATGAGCCCAAGAACGAAGTGCAGAGTTTGGTGAGGCAAACACCCACGGAGGGAGACTACAAAACGGAACGCTCGCAAAACCTGCGGCGGAGAACGAGGAATACGCATAATGGACTCTACACAGCACCGAGATTTTCCTGCCGTTTAGTAAAGTTACAGGCCTCGTGTGCTGCATTCACAGATTGCAACTTCGCCTTGCAGGCAAAAGGCAAGGGGGAAGGCTCGGTAAAAGATGGACAACCCACAAACAGTATTTAGGAATCGCTTGGCTATTAAGCTCGTAAAACTGCCAATGCCTGCGCTGTAGGCCTCGCACACTGAACTGCTTTGCTTGATAATGAGCAGCACCTCGGGTGGTGTTTGTGTGCCAGCTGTAGTGTCCATGCACGAGTGTCGGCCTGGTGCGTTTTATCTTGCCTCTCGTCGTATTACGACGGCTCAGGGCCTGCGGCTCAGGCCCTGCCTGCCCCCTGCCCCCCCCCCCCCCCCCCCCCCACCCCCCCCCCCCCCCCCCACCCCATAAGCAGAACTTTCCCGCGTTCGGTTTTAACATCTGGGTTGCCGCACGCAGGTCCAGAGACCCGAGAGTGTGGGAGACCTGGGGTAACGACTGTTAACGCAACCGGACTCCCGGCTGAGCTTTTCTGAAGGCGCAAAAATATTCTAAATCGTTTTGCCGTAATTTTTTCACTCGATTTTGTAGCGAAAACATGGTGCAACGAGTCTGCGGCTGCCTGCCTAGGTAGATAACTTGATGACCTTTCCGTTTCATCGCTGTTATGCGTGCTCAATGTTTTATTCCCCAGTGGACTTCTGCCACGCGCAAGCCGAAACCCGCCAGGTTCGGCTTCACGAGCACATGAGAACGCTCAACGGCGCAGAACTGTCTGCAACCCGAGCAACTCAGACGGCGAGAATGCCGATGGTGCATTGTTAACCCGGCTGGCTGGCTGACTGACAGATGGCCCATCGTGCCCGCAAGCCTGGCAGCAGGCTGTCGGTGCGCGCTGCAGAGTGGGCCTCAATCGCGCCGTGCGTAGCCCAGGCATGGGATTTGGCGGCCACTCTGACCGGGATATAGTCCTGGGGACCGACAGGGTGACTTGGCACTAATCAGACAGGCCCGCAGTCGTGCGTGGCCAAAAGCTGAAGATGCCCGGAGAAGTGCGTGGCAAAAGCTTGAGAGAAGAAAGTGCCGAATACGCAGGCGAGCACTTGGACTCGTGATGGCGATGCGTGCCGAGCGAGCTGCCTGGGTACGGATCGGCGTGGCGAGCCTCGTGCAGCGAGGGTTTAGAGTTCAGTGGAACCACACCGACTGGAGTCACCATCAGTGTCAATACACTTGTAGCAGTAACCCGCACGAGAGTGCGATATTGTGATAGACATATACATATATATTTAATCTATATTTAGTATATGCGTTTGATGTACAGTTTATATAACAATTTTATTTAGACCTGTAATATATATGACACGCACAACATACACCCCCCCCCAACCGCCGTATAGCCTTTAACAGACTATTGGGGCTGTTAGCGAGCACCTATTAAGGCCGACATGGCACACCAGAGCTGGGGCAGCTACCACCACGCCCGGCCGCCTTTGTCTCCCCAATGCTGGTGTTTATACACCTGCACCAGGTAGTCATTTAAGGCTTATTCGACCTAGGGGAGGCCCAGGAGACGGTTCAGATATTCGTCACCGGTGTTGACTCACGAGCGGGAATCCGTAGCGTGGCGCACTAGCCACCGCACCTGCCACTCCCCACGCACGCACGTCCACACATTCACATTGGGCGAGCAATTTAGACATTGATGGGCACGTCAAGAACATCATGAACGTTCGTTTGGTGAGGTGGCAGAAGCTGTCCTCCCAGTAGGAGATTTCCAGACCACACGGGAGTCTGAGAACATTGGAGGCCTTCTGCAGTGGCGCCACGGTGGAAAGATGTTTACTACCTCGCATGGTATACAGGAGGTCGTGGGTTCGTTCCTGACCCTGACGCCTGCTGTATATTTGGAGTTTGCGTCTCTCTCTCCCCGTGGTCGCGTAGATTTTTCTCCGGGTCCTCCAGTTTTTACCTGCACATTTATAAACAAACGTGCGCTTCGAGTATTTGGCTGATAATACATTTCCACGCGCTAAGTCACTTCGTTGAGCTATCATTCGTGATAGCCAGTTCGCTTCTGAAAAATAACTCTAGAGCATAGTGGGGACTACCTGGTAAAAAAAAAATATGTATATTTTTTTGTTATCGAGCTGGGGTGGACCATACGCCGCCCGATTCACCTCAGGGTCATGGCCTGGCACCCTTCACGCGTCCAATCGTTCAGCTCTGTGACCAATCGGATGGCCCCGTGTGCGCAACAATTTTAAAACGTCATACGACCCTGTTCGCAGCTGATCGCGTGATAATGGTGGGCCTAAATTGAATACGTGGGCCTTCGTCAGCCTTGTTATTTACTGTAACGTTTCTGTTGTTGCTGTGGGTTAGTGATGGCGTCAATGTAAGTGTGTCGTACGCCCACCTCCGCCCGACAAGGCCAATCGGGCGATTGCCTGGCGATGATTGCCTGATGATGCTGGTTGTTGTCATCGCTGTTAACTCAAATTGTAAATGGTGCGAGTTTTGTTCTCTAACACACAACCGGTGGTGCTCAAGTAGTCACTATTTGGCACGTTCTGATCACGTGACACACCATACTAATTGTCTGTGTCGGGTGGAGGAGGGTGTACGACACATCTACGCGATCTAACCAGTGGCGTAAGGAGCGTGGAGGCAGGGAGTGCCTTGCAGATATTCGCTTGCACACTGGTGCAAGCGAATATCGGTTCTGTCGCTGTTCCACTGAGATTAAAATATATTGGGAAATATCAGAGGAATAACTTTCGGGGCATCCCTTGTGTGCTTCGCGAAGGTGCGTTTCCCCAGTGCTTAAAATAATAACGAGGATTTCGATATCATAGAGAGGATCGCTTGGGGCTGAGCAGGGCACGCCGTGGGCTGGCAAGGATGGAGATGATGGACAGGAGTGGACAGGAGTGGCGGTCAAAGGAGGGGGTCGCGTCCGAGACAGGGCACGCCCGCAGTGGAGATGGAGCGGCAAAATCAGCTGTCGCGAGCATGGGTTCAAGGTAGATTGTTGCACCACCGCCGTGAGATATGGCAGAGGGTTCGTTTTGGGAGGGTTTCGTCTGATTTTATAGAGCACCTTAACTCAAGGTGCTCTCTGATAAGCGAGCAACAGCGGAAACTACGGTCGAGTGACTTAGAATGCAAGGGGCGTACGAAGGCCGTGGGATGAGTGACCGTGACAGAGGACACGTGGAGGTCACGAACAGGGCGATAGGGGAGGGACGGGAAGGAGTGGAGGGGCAATGGGGAGGAAATAGGAAGGGATTTGACGATGGAGGAGGCTTCAAGAGAGGAACGGAAGGAGGTTAAGGAGGGCGGCTGCTTAATGTACGGGGGCAGTGTTGAGTCTATGGGCAGTGTTGAGTCTGGGCAGTGTTGAGTCTATGGGCAGTGTTGAGTCTATGGGGAGTGTTGAGTTAATGGGCAGTGTTGAGTCTATGGGTAGTGTTGAGTCTATGGTGCAGTGTTGAGTATATGGTTCAGTGTTGAGTCTGTGGGCAGTGTTGAGTCTATGGGTGGTGTTGAGTCTATGGGTAGTGTTGAGTCTATGGGCAGTGTTGAGTCTATGGGTAGTGTTGAGTCTATGGGTAGTGTTGAGTCTACGGGGCAGTGTTGAGTCTATGGACAGTGTTGAATCTATGGGTAGTGTTGAGTCTATGAGCAGTATTGAGTCTATTAGCAGTGTTGAATCTATGGGCAGTGTTGAGTCTATGGGGCAGTGTTGAGTTTATGGTGCAGTGTTGAGTCTATGGGCAGTGTTGAGTCTATGGGGCAGTGTTGAGTCTATGGGGCAGTGTTGAGTCTGGGCAGTGTTGAGTCTATGGTGCAGTGTTGAGTCTTTGGGCAGTGTTGAGTTTATGGTGCAGTGTTGAGTCTATGGGCAGTGTTGAGTCTATGGCGCAGTGTTGAGGCTATGGGCAGTGTTGAGTCTGTGGGCAGTGTTGAGTCTATGGGTTGTGTTGAGTCGATGGGCAGTGTTGAGTTAAGGTGCAGTGTTGAGTCTATGGGCAGTGTAGAGTCTCTGGGCAGTGTTGAGTCGATGGGCAGTGTAGAGTCTCTGGGCAGTCTTGAGTCTATGGGCAGTGTTGAGTCGATGGGCAGTGTTGAGTCTCTGGGCAGTCTTGAGTCTATGGGCAGTGTTGAGTCGATGGGCAGTGTTGAGTTTAAGGTGCAGTGTTGAGCCTATGGGGAGTGTAGAGTCTCTGGGCAGTCTTGAGTCTATGGTGTAGTGCTAAGTCTATGGGCTATGCTGCTCAATGTACAGGTGACGTTGATTCCAGTAGAGGGGTGTAAGGAGGGAGACAGATCGATGATCAATGCACTGCTGGTTTGATGATGTAGTGGAAGTTTCCAGTTGAATTCGGGATTTATTTGCTTTTTTAGTGTTTCACGAACGCAGACGGCAGGACCGAATGAAACATCGAAGCATAAAAACTATTTTTTTTTAAACGTAACAAAGAATTGTTGCGAACAAACATGTTTTTACGCGACCTTTACTTAAGTGGGCCCCTCTTGGACGATGATGATTTAGGGCGCTCTCGCACTCTGCCTCCACGTGTGGCGTCGACGTCGCTGTGGTTACCTTCATTAGCTTTCAAAACAAGTTGTGTTTGGCACCAAACAAGTAGCGCTCCGGCTAATGACTCTGTCCCTCGGCGTGACCGCCGCGGCCACGCACTCTGTGACCCTCTCCTCCCGATTATAAAACAACAACAACGGTCCGGAGATTTGGGAGGATGACGCACCTAGAGGTCGTCGACTCGTGCCCAGAGTTGTCAACAAAGTTAAACTAATGTGGTCACAAAGATAAAGATCCCCCCCCCCCGCTTAACCTTAACAGACTGTTGGGGCAAGTGCTGTTAGCGAGTAGCACCTATGAAAGCCGGCACGGCACACGGGGAGGTGGGTGGTCAGTACTCGGCCCGGCCGCCTTTGTCTTCTCAGTGACAATGTCCTGGAGGGACTCTGATGAAAAGGGAGCGATTATATATTTGTATTATCATCATCATCATCACGGTTGTTAGCCACGGAAAGCCTGCCTCGCCGAGTCTCAAGACTCTCTGTCGAGAGGGTCCTGCCACGATTGGTTTTCAGCAGAGGGAGATGCTGCTGCTTTGTCTAAACCACAAGTGAGCAATTTCCATGTCAACTTTCAACATTGGAACGTCTGGGCCAATAACAGTAACAATGCATACGGGGTGTTGTTGTTGTTGTTTGATTGCTATGGGAGGAAACTGGAGAAGCCAGAGGAAAGCCCGTTACAGAACAGTGGGAGAGAATACAGACTCCACACACATTCATTGTGGTCCAAGTCGGGAGTCAAACCCAGGCCCTTATCGCTGTGAGGCACGAACGTTATACCACTGGGCCACGGCGCGGCGAGGAGATGCAATCCGATTCGCAGCTCCACTCAACCGATGGTTGCGTGGAATGTTCCTCAATCGGTGCAGTCACTCGCACGGCCGTCGTTACACGCGCCCCACAACGGCACAACGTCGCATATACGACCACCCTGACAAATTAAGCGCCCACACCCAGAGAAGTAAGTGTGCGCGGTGTAACTGTCATTGAACGTGAGTGTTGACGTTTAACTTCTTTCGCAGCGTACGTGGCCAACCGCGATAATCGGAGGTGCGGGGGATAATGACAAACAACCTAGACGCAAAAAAGGAGTTGGAAAGAAATGAGTTTGTCAATCTAGATTCTAGATGATGATTATTTAAAAGTGCACAGCTCCAGTGGCTTCCTGATATCGTAAGGAAGAGCGTTCCAGACGGCCGCCGAAGCGCATCTGAAAGCGCGACGCATGAACAGATTGACATTCGATGTTCACGTAGCGGACCCTTTCGCGTTGAACTGCATCCTGAATCTCGCACACATTCGGTGCATTGCATCTGACTCTCGTTCTTTCGCCATTATTCTTCGTTTCCCAGAGGAAAGCCTCACTGAGTCTCAAGTTTATTTTCCCAGGAGGCTCCCGCCGCGGTATTGGCAGCAGCAGGCGATGTCGCTGCTGCTTTGCTCCCAATTGTGTGGGCAGCGCTCGTCCGGCACAGCGATCTGAATCGCGAGGCCCTCGCGGGCCACTGGCGGGCCGTGGGGGACCTTCGGTGCGGCCCCTGGCGTGCGCGGCCCCCCGAAAAAACACAAATGGTGAACACACAACCCCATCATCATCATCGTGCTGCTGTCACAAGCCCCCAATGGTTCCAAATGTGTTGCTGCCCCCACACTGATGGTGTCTCATCGCCCAAAGTGGCCTTCCACCTCTCAAAATGAGTGCAGAACGCTGCTCGAGTGGTTCGGGGGCTTCACTACGAACCCGGCCACCCCGGTTCACCTCCCGCTCACGGTCACCAACATCAGCGACGATTATCCGAATCGGTCCTGGTTCTGCCTTAGGGTCGACTCGGCCTTAGGTGTGTCGCTGGTGTAGCGGTGTGTGGTTAAACATCGCCAGCACCGGGGCGACAAAGGCGGCCGGGCGTGGTCCTGGCCACCGTCCCCCTCGCTCGCCACCGTGGCGAGCGCCTTGGGCGCGACGCGCGAACAGCGCTCTGCTGAGGCCACGCGCGAACAGCGCTCTGCTGTCCGCGAGCCCAAATTCCGTCATCCCGGTGCTTACGGACGCGGGTTGAACGTCCAGTGACAGGCGGTATTTGTGCGGGGCGGTGTGACCGCCATGTTACTTACAGACGTCCAAATCGTGTCACGCGTCCGTCTATATTCCTGAATTCCCCCCGCACCCCCCTCCACTCGGCGATTTTGAATAGCGACGTCGTATTGTATGCATATAACACACACACACGCGCGCGCGCGTGCGTGCGCGCACACGTTATCAATATATAGGCAGTATATGCTTTACCTCAAGTGCCTGTTGTGTGGACTGTTCATGTACCGTGTCGATTGCTGCGTCTTATGCTCTCCC